GTTTCTTATTGGCAGCTGGAAATCGATAATTCCATCGATGTTTTCCTCCACCTATTCTCACCTCTACGTTGGTCGCAATTTTATTGTTGATAAGCGGAGCGGACTCTCGTTTCGGGCGCGTTTCGTATTTGTTCTACGCGAAATGATAAACTAAGCTGAAATAGTCGCAATATCTGTGGGCAAAGACAAACAAAGTGATAAAGCGTCAAATGTGTCAGCTGGTGGAGAAGCTGTTTTAGTCAAGGTACGCCAGAAATGACAAAAAAAACGGAGAATCTTTCGTTCGTGTGTGGGAGTATAGTCGCTGCCTCTTCCAATTGGAATTCTGCTTTTAGGGCTTGACAATAAAACGCAGAATGTTTACTTAATAAATGTGTGTACCTTATATGGCGTGTTTCTGTGAACGACGGAAGATGCAAATGATAAAACTGTGCTTTAACTGTTTTCCTGCTGATGATTCCTTTTACAGGAAAAATCAATAAAGGTCCCAATCAGAATGCGACTGCGCCCGAGTGTGGGTGTGCTGCATGCGTGAGTGTGTGTGTGTGTGCGTGCTCCTTTATCAGTTGGAAAACGCACTTTTATTGTTGTTATTTTTGTCTTCCAACAGCTGCAAGTGATTGTGGGCACGCCTAATTGATAACTATTTTCGAGCACTTCCATTTCCAATTTCACCGCAGTATAATTAATCACCGCATTAAGGAAAATACCATAATATCTGCACGCTCGATTGTTTTACACGGCTACAAAAAACATTACAGAAAACAGAAAACACAATTCCACACTGAATGGCGCTCGTATTTAGTTTCCCTTTTACTTTTCTACAATTTACATAATCATCATCTCGCGGCGGCAAAGACACAACAGCAACAAAACAGCAAAACAAAAGCGGCGTTCATTAAACCAACTCATAAAATGCACATACAAAAATTATATGTACATACGTTTTCAGCAGTTGCTCGGTAGTTTTTATTATTTAATATTTTCGCGCATATTTCCCTGTGTGCCTCTGTTTAATGGCTTTCGGTTCCATCATCATCATCGGATTTTTCTACCCCCCCAACCCCCTGTAAATCTTCAATTCTTCTTTCTTTGATAATTCTGCCGCGAATATTTGGTATGCAAAATGTGTGCCAAGCCAAAACGCCGCACAGTGGGTGCAATTCGTTGAGTGGGTGGCAAAATCGGTAATTATCTTGATGGGGTTCCAATTGTAAAGCTTAATTGGATATTTATTCGTTGGTAAAATACTTTAGTTTCAGATGACCCATACATTTTTGCACTATTTTAGAAAAATACAGGGGTTGATGGGACAAAACCTACCCCTAAAACGTTAAAATCAATAAATGTGCAAAAAAAAAAGAAATGTCCTCCTGTTCGTATTCATCTAAGTGGTCTGTTAGTTCGAGGGCATCGATTTTGGACCTCATGTCGACTTCGCCCCACCTCCTTTCTTTAATTTTATCACAATTAACTTGTACCAATTAGGATATATGAAAAAAATAGAATCTTAAATCATTCCCCTTACAAGGTAATTGATCTGAACCAAGATTAAAACTTTAAATCAAATTATGGAATGCGAATTCCATCAACACGAAAACCAAAACAAAACTGGTTAATTTGTTTAAAGATTACTAAAAATGGAATTGTTCACATTTTGATTTAATTATACAAATTTTGGCACCAGCTTAAAAAGAGTTTGTCATCAAGTGATTTGTTTATATTGTAGGAGTATCATATATCAACTTCATTTTCCAAATAACAGTATTGTATGCGTCAAACTTAAAAATCCCTTTATCTCTAGGACCTAAAAAAAAGCAGATTGGGTGACTAAAAGTAAGCAGTAAAATATTTAATTGTTAGCTGGCTGATTCACTTTCTAAACCATTTCATTAAAATAGATTATTATTTGTCGCTTTAAATTCATTTTTAAGCGTGGGAGGAAAACCAATTTAATTTCCAAATACAGTCCACAGAAACCGCTTAGTTTTTAATTGTTTCCATTGTACCCGGGTCTCATCGGAGACCCTTACATATGTGCTTGGCTGCCCGGTTAATGACACGACGAGGAGTCAGTTGTCTCTGGGGGACTGTGAAGCTCTTTGGCTAGACAAGTGACGCATATTTTCGCATTCTTTGTGGTACTTTGCCAGCGCATGCATATATCTCTATATAGTATCGCTATATGCGGGGCTGATTTGCCTAATTCGCGGATCGTTGATTCATCGAAATTGCTCGTCTTCTGAATTCTTGCCACCGAAAGTACAGATATTGCCGAATGTTAATCAGTGTGGAGCCGTACCGCCTTATCAAGCGACTGATATGGATAGTTATATACTTACATTTTAGGTTAAGGCCTAGGCAAACAATCGATCGATCGGTCGGTAGATGATGAATGATTGCTTACTGCTGGCCAGTCCGGCATTCCATTCGAAACTCGATTGGACTCGATGGATGCATTACATTTCCGCTGTTACACAAGCGATTTGCATTTCACAGCCACTCAAATTGCGGTTACCACTTTTTCGTTTCTCTCTTTATGTTGGTCGCAATTAAAATTTGATTAATTTGCCAATTGGAGCTTGACTTGGAGATTGACTTGTGCGGAGCGAGAAACTGGTACACGACCCGGGTCATTCCCAATCCGATCCATTTTGAAAACTTAGAATATGATTAAAGGTACACGGTGAGAAACTAGAAACATTAGAATTTTATAGGATTTTTAAAATGAAAAACAATTAAGAGAGGAGAATTTCTAGAAATATTATGATAATAAAAGGGTTTATAACATCGAAAAACAGATAGGAGGTTTTTTAAAGAATTGTATCATAAGTAACTAAATAATTCAGGCTAATTTCTATAGGTATATTGTTTAAAATAATAGTAACAAGTCTTAAAATAAAGCACAATGAAGAAAGGAGAAAATATTATGATAATAAAAGGGTTTATAATAGTAGGTCTTATAAAGAATTTTATCATAAGCAATTACAAAGTTCAGGTTGATTTATATATTACATAGTGAAATACTAGAAATATCAAAATTCCAGGTTTATATCGTGATTTTAATAGAACAGGTTCCTAAAATAAAAATATTATGATATTTAAAAAGTTTCTAGAATCGAAAAATGATTGATAGGTCTTTTAAAGAATTGTATCATCAGTAAATAACAAATTTCAGTTAAAGTATTTTGATTTCGGTGAGTTATTCTAACTTTCTTATGACTTGGATATTTTTTAAAGATATCAATTATAATTTACGCGTTATTTTCTCCCTGTGCACATACATATTTATGTACCTACATCTGTCTGTCCATGCTCAATTTTACGCTACAATAACAACTAAAAGAAGTGCTGCACCAAATTGCATTTGCACATAATTCAACGGTAGCTCAAATGAGAAATGTGTCTTGTGTACAGTGTGTGTAGCAGCAACAACAACCTCACCAACAACAACAGTAACTAAAGCAATATAATATATCTGCTGAAAACGCATCTGTATCTTATTTTCATGCACTGGAAATTCCGCTAACTTTCTAAAAGATGCAGCGCCAGCTAATCATGATAATGATTTACCTGCTTATTTGCTATTGTTGTTGGCACCACCTGAAAGTCGGGCCGAGATGATTAAGTTACAGAGCCATAGAGATAGAGCCAAACAATCAAAAGAGTCTTCCACAATAGACCGAATTCTTTTTGGGAGACCCAGAACATTATGCATCTTATAAGTCTTAGAAAGTAGATCTTCAAAAGTAACTCAATAAATAGGGGTCACTAAATTAACACTTGGAATTCTTAAGTTTAGAAGTAATTAAATGTGATCTAACCTTTCTACAAAACAACCATTTCTATCTCTAAATTAAATAAAATAGAACTGGAAACTTGAGATCATTCTTATACATTTTGTTAAATGACTTCACCTTCTTGAGATAACATTTATCGTAAGAGGATTATTATATCATGAAGCTGACATACTCATGTATGTTTATAAGTAGTTACCTTACCATCGATCATAAAACGAGTCATATGCTTGTGATGAGTTAAGTTTATGCGCTAAAATGACAACTGTCATGGAAGCCCCTCGGTTCTTCCTAGTTTAACTAAAATGCAGAATATCCTAGACATGTGATTCAGTTCTTAAGTTAAAAGGTTATAACAGATATTACATATGCACACAAAAAAAAACATGTTCCAGTAAAATCGATATGTCCATGTAAATTTCAGGTCAAGTATATCGTTTTGACATGAAATACTCTTTTCGACCAGGTCAAATTTATCTGGCCGCATATCAACTTAAAATTCAAATAATGTAAAATCGATATTGTTTTTTTTTTTGGGTGTACGAGTTATTTCAGAATATATTAAAGTTTTCCATAGTTCGAGTCCCGCTAAAATACTCGCATTTAAAAATAGGTCTATTAAAGCTCTAATAAATCACTAATTGCTTAAATATAATTATTTTCATTTCATTTCTAAATTAAAAATAACTTAAAAGTGGTTTGGCAACTTTTTATTTTATTTATTTTTTTAGTTATATTTTTTTTGGATGCACCTCAAACTAATCTCCGCCTTATCCGGTTGCATTTTCTGATCGCTGCCCACACTTGATATATGATAGTTGCCAGGCGATTCGTCTCTGTTTCAGTTTTGCTGGGGAGCAGAGTGCACTAAAAAAAAAAGCTTGAATTGCATATTCATGCATGCACGCATTGGATCCCTAAATACCAATAAAGAAAATGTTCTTTTATTAAAGGCGATTTTTTCATAGTTTTAAAGGAATTCTTCTAAAACCTGTATAAAAACAAGAATAATAATTTTGTGAGTGTAGAGTGGTGGTGCGTCTATAATTAGCCCACGCCCTGGTCCGGCACTAAATTTATAGCAATTTATAGAGTCTCAATTGCGCCGCCTCTTACTTTATCTCCCTTCTTTCCCTTGCAGGCCATGGAGCATTGACTTGTGTCTCTGAGAAACCTCCAAGCCCCGATCCCCGGGTACGATCCCCGCCAGCCAAGTCATGTTGGAGCCAACGCTGACGCCCGATCTGGAGGAGGGCATCGCCGGCCTCAGCCTAGACGTAGATGTGGACGTGGACGTGGACTCGGTGCCCGATCGCAAGCCGCACTTCCTCGACTACGATGCAGTTGCGCCGCCGGACTACGAGGAGGCCAGCTTTGGGGCAGCCAGGAGTTCGGGGGAGCAGCTGAAGATGGACAAGAAGTTCGAGCGCGACGGCGAGGTGAGCGACTACGAGCTGGCCGCCAGTGGCTATACGAAGAAGGAGTTCACCCAGGACGACAATACGCTGCACTTCACCCAGAGTGGAGGTGGAGCTGGTGGAGCCGTGGGCAAGAAGACCACGACGGCCAAGCATTTCCTGGACGAGAATCCCATTCCGCCGGACTATATGCTGGCCCAGGAACTCCGCGAGATGCGGGAGCATCGCAGCCTGGACAGGAACTTCGAACGGCAGTCGGCGCAGCAGCAGCAGTTGGATGAACTGCCGCCGAGGAATGGCGGAGGATCGCCGGCCAGTGCAGGTCGCCCGTCGCGCAGCAAGGAGCCTTCTTACACGCTCTCCAGGTTCTTAGATGGAGATTCACCTGCTCCGGTGCCCAGGTTGCCCAAGGGAGCCGCCTGGACGACCAGTTTCGATGAGCGATACTCCTCGTCGGCCGTGGAGGCCACTTTGGGCTCGAAGGTGGAGTGTGTCTACTCGCTGCTCTCCATGCTGGGCTCCAATGATCCCCTGGAAATGGCCAAAAAGTTCTTGGAGCTGTCGGCGAATGCGCAAAGTTGCGCCACCCTCAGAAGATCTGGCTGCATGCCGCTCCTGGTGCAGATGATGCATGCCCCTGACAATGACCAAGAGGTGAGGAAGTGCGCCGGTCAGGCCCTGCACAATGTGGTGCACAGTCATCCGGATGAGAAGTGCGGCAGGAGGGAAGCCAAGGTGTTAAGACTCCTGGACCAAATCCTCGACTACTGCTCTTTTTTGAAGACTCTACTGCAGAGTGGCGGCGAGGCCATAGCCGATGATTCGGATCGTCATCCACTGGCGGCCATTTCATCGCTAATGAAGGTCAGCTTCGATGAGGAGCACCGGCATGCCATGTGCGAACTGGGAGCCCTGCATGCGATACCCAATCTGGTGCATCTGGATCATGCAGTGCATGGACCCAAGCCCGAGGATCAGTGCTGCAATTCGCTGAGAAGATATGCCCTAATGGCCCTTACCAACTTAACCTTTGGGGATGAGAACAACAAGGCGCTGCTCTGCGGACAGAAGCAGTTCATGGAGGCCCTGGTGGCCCAGCTGGATTCGGCTCCGGATGATTTGCTCCAGGTGACGGCCAGTGTGCTGCGCAATCTCTCCTGGCGGGCGGATAGCAATATGAAGGCGATTCTCAATGAGATTGGCACTGTGACCGCTTTGGCCCTGGCGGCCATGCGGAATAGGAGTGAGAACACCCTGAAGGCCATACTCTCCGCGCTGTGGAATCTCTCGGCTCATTGCAGCACCAATAAAGCGGAATTCTGTGCTGTGGATGGAGCTCTAGCCTTTCTTGTGGGGATGCTCAGCTACGAGGGACCTAGTAAAACCCTGAAAATCATCGAGAATGCCGGTGGAATACTAAGAAACGTCTCCAGTCACATTGCCGTATGTGAACCCTATCGACAGATCCTGCGGCAGCACAACTGCCTGGCCATTCTGCTGCAGCAACTCAAGTCCGAAAGCCTCACCGTGGTCAGCAACTCGTGTGGAACGCTGTGGAATCTATCGGCCCGCTCGCCCGAGGATCAGAAGTTCTTGTGGGACAATGGAGCGGTGCCCATGTTGCGTTCGTTGATTCACTCCAAGCACGCCATGATCTCAGAGGGCAGCTCTTCGGCTCTCAAGAATCTGCTGAACTTTCGACCGGCTGTCCAGAATCATCACCAACTGGATCCCATTGCCAGGTCGATGGGTTTGAAGGCTCTGCCCACTTTGGAGGCACGCAAGGCGAAGGCTTTGCAGCAGGAATTGGGTGAAAGGCATACATCGGAGACTTGCGACAATTTGGACACAAGTGGGAAGTTAAGCAAGGCTTCCAGTAGACGACATCCCGCTGCAGTGCCTCGTCTAACCCGCTCGGCCATGCTAACCAAAAGTGAGAGTAGGGATTCTGTATACTCGGCCAAATCGGAGTGCGCCTATGATCATCTCATCCGCTCCGCCTCCGCCTCGGATGCCCAGCGCAAGGTGAAGCCCAAGATGACGGACTTTGAGCTGGAAATGGAACAGGATGCGGAGCCCATTGACTACTCGGCCAAGTACAGCGAGAGTGCCACGAAGACCTCCTCGTCGACATATCAGGAAACGGATCTCGATCAGCCCACGGACTTTAGTCTGCGCTATGCGGAGAATCAATTGGAATCCGCCATAACACCTCCAACTGAAGCCGAGCCAGCGAAATCCAACGAGGGGCAGGAGATACTCCTCATCCTAGACGACAGTGTCAAGTGCTATCAGACCGAAGATACCCCCTATGTCATATCCAATGCAGCTTCCGTCACGGATTTAAGGGTCGCCGCCAAGGGAGAGGCGAAAGTAGAAGTCAGGGAGGTGGCTTCCAAGGAACCAGCTCCCAAAAAGCTACCCAAGCAGTGCGGATCCGGTTCATATACCCCGGAAAAGCCCATCAATTATTGCGAGGAGGGAACTCCTGGCTACTTTAGTCGCTACGATTCGCTGAGCAGCCTGGATGAGTCGGGCAAGGCCAAATCCAAGGTGGAGAAACCAGAGGAACAGGAATCCCAGCCAGCAGTGGAGCAGATTCTGCAGGTCAAGCCTACAAACCAGGAGAATTCAGCCTTGGAAACGCCTTTAATGTTTTCGAGACGCAGCTCCATGGATTCTCTAGTCCACGATCCCGATGTGGATGTGGTCAACTGCGATGACAAGAGCTCGGTGGTCAGTGACTTTAGTCGCCTGGCCAGCGGGGTGATATCCCCCTCGGAGATCCCCGATTCGCCCACTCAAAGTATGCCGCAATCGCCTAGGAGAAATAGTTCGGTTCAGCCCGCTGTAATCCCCGCCAGCTTGCAGCCACTGCGCAGCGTCTTCGAGGATGACCTGAGCAGCTTCAATGTGGAGCATACACCCGCTCACTTCTCCACGGCCACCAGTTTGAGTAACCTGAGCATTGTGGACGATGAAAAGGCACCGGCGAGTGAAGATGAGCTCCTGCTGGCCAACTGCATCAACATGGGCATGCAACGAAAGCCAGCTGGTGAGGTGGTGAATCCCGAAGTGGACGAAGTGGCCGAGGAGACCATTCGGAGCTACTGCACCGAGGATACGCCGGCGCTGCTCTCCAAGGTGGCCAGCAACACCAATCTGTCGGCCATCTCCATGAGCTCCAATGATCATAAAGAAGTGGTCGAGGTGGCTGCTCATCAGCTTTCAGATGATGTATCCTCGAATGCCTCGGATTGCGGTGGAGCTGCGGGCAATCTCCTGCAGCAGTGCATCCGCGATGGCATGAAGAAACCTTTAACTGAAGGAGCTGCCGATCCCATAGCCATGCTGCGACGTGGCGGAAACCAACTGACCGGCTATCTGCCCTCCGCCGATGAGGTGAACAAGTTCTTGGTGGAGGACAGTCCCTGCAACTTCTCTGTAGTCTCTGGCCTCTCAAATTTAACTGTGGGTTCAAGTCTGGTGGGTCCAGCCGTGGAGCTCAAGGAAACCGCAGCGTGAGTAGTGATCCCAAAAATATATTTAACCTTGAATCTATAACCCTTGGGAATTTACAAAAATATAATTTATAGCCTAATTTAAAGTGTACTATTATTTTGTCTGATTATGAAAATGAATCAATGCAGCATCATTGAAAACTTGATTTAAAAATACTTATATAGTAGTCCCAGTTTTAATATCTATATCAAATGAATATCCCTATTATAATATTATATTTATTTATATATATTTCACTTTGAAATCTTTTGAAATTATAGTGCATAATTCATTTATATTCTGATCTGAAATATACTACAATTTTGTCTGATTTTTAAATTGCGATAATATTAAAAATTTATGTAGGCAGTAGATTCAGTTTTGATATCAATATTACCTATAGTATTATATTTTATTTATATATATTTAATTTTGAGCCTCAATCTCTTGAGATTATAGAGCATCATTAATATATATTATATTCTAAAAGGTTTTATGAATTCATCTGATTATTAAGTTTGTATAATATTAAAAATGTATATAGGCAGTAGGCTCAGTTTAGTTATCAACCTCATATTAATCTTCCTATTATAATATAATATTTAATCGATCTGAATAATGTTTTGCTTTAATGTTAAATGGTGGTTCAAGTTAGTAAAGAAGATTATAATTTCCGAAACATTACTTAAACGAATATTAATCCCCAACAGATCCAGTGTGCAACCGAATCCTGGATCGGATGCAAAACCCGCCAGACAGGAGCAAAACCGAAGACCGCCGCATTGGCAAGATGATTCGCTGAGTTCTCTATCCATTGACTCGGAGGATGACACCAATTTACTGAGTCAGGTAATCTCTTAACTACAAAAAATTAAATAAATTATAAAATTTATTAATTTATAATTTCCAGGCTATTGCCGCTGGTTGCAATAGACCCAAATCGAATCTTGGCTTCAGCTCGAACGGCAAGCGCTCCAGCTCGCTGAGCTCCTCGCAGCCCATAGCCATCAATGCGGCCACCTCGGCCAGTTCCCTGAACTCCTCGATGACAGTGAGAAAGAGCCAACAGCAGCAGCATCAGCAGCAGGAATCCTACAGTTCCGTGGATTCCAGCGACTCGAATGACAACCAGTCAAAGTCGCTCTTTGAGCTGTGCATCCTGAAGGGCATGTACAAGTCCAAGGAGCCCGGCGCTAGAGCTCAGCAGCTGCAGGAGCAGCCCGCCGTGGGTGCAGCCTCCTCCTCCGCCAATCTCAAGCAATTCGACTCGTTGCCTGTGCAGCTGCCAAAGCCAAAGCGTCATCATCATCATCATCATCATCACCAGCATCATCACAGAGAGCGAGAAAGAGAACGCAAGGACGAGAAGCTGCTGCAGGAGTGCATCAATACGGGCATCTCGAACAAGATCAGCGCCGTGCCAAAAAACGTCCTGGCTACGTCTGCGGCTGCATTGGAACCGTGTCGCCCAATGGCAGCTACTACATCAGCAAGTGCCCCCAGCACAGCAGCAGCTCCAGACGTAGAGCAGAAACAGCAGCAGGAGCAGCTATCCTACCCGAGCAGCCTCATCCTTCCGAATCCTCCTATCGACGCCATCGCCATCGTCACCATCGACACACCAAAAAGTCCAGCAGTTCTCGGTCCAGGGAACGCGAATCGGAACGATCTAGAGATCGCTATTGGGTCTAGACAACTGGACACGGAAGATCGCTCCAGCGACGAATCGAATCAGTCGTTTATTATGGACACCATGGTCAGGTTGGATGGTGCTCCCCAAGAAACTTGCCTTTCAAGTGCCAGTGAGAAGCACAAGGATCCCGATTTGATGCTTAAATCGGTGGAGAGATTAACCCTGGAGTTTGTCACCTCAGCGGAGCAGTTGCGCAGCAGCAACAGAAACACCAGCAGCAACAGCACCTGGAACGAGCACACCTGTCCCGATGACGTGAGCTTCCCCAGCGTGAGTCAAACGGCTCCCATTTTGGCCTCCCTCAGCCTGGATGAAGATGATGCCACAGAGGCGAGACCCCTGCCTGAGCTGGCCGAGATCACACCCACAAATGAACAGCAGCCAGCATCGCTGGAGGGTGAAACGGATACCCTGGTTAATGGACAAGCTGACAGCTACTCGGGATCGGGATCGGGATCCTCGGGATCGGGACTTAACTTCCAGTTGGGTGGTCATGTCCAGAATGCGGGCGTCCGTTTGGAGCCGCAGAGGCTGCTCTTCAATGGCACCAGTGCCTCCATGATGACCAACTCGACCATGATTGCCTACGAGGCGCGTGCTCTGGCCGAGAATCTCATCCTGAAGCCCGCTGACCCAGAAGCCACCGATGAGGACAACACCGAGCTGAGCTTCAGCATGAACAGTTTGGATCTGGACAATGTGCGGCCGCCGTCGGGCATGGAATCGCTGAATAGCTGCTACCAGGAGCACTCCCAGCCGAGTTCCCTGCGACAGCTGCCCAGCAAGAGTCCCAGATTTGCGCGCAAAATGTTCCCGGCCAATTTGGTGGCTCGCCGGGCACTGGGTCACCTGGCGGGCAGTGCGGAGAGCGTGAACTCCAGCTGCAATCTGCTGGACAACATCAAGCCGCCGTCGCTAATGGATGAGCTACTAGACTCCATGATCAGTGTGGACAGCATCCAGTCGGAGGTGGCCGACGGGGATCAGGACTGCAGCATGGCCACCACCATTTCGGTGTCCAACTACGAGACGGCCGCCTGCGATGATCAAACGTTGACGGTGCTCCAAAGTTGCTTCGATGACGACGAGGAAGATGCCACAATGAATGACTACAGCTCGGCGGAATCGACGCCCAAACATGGTTCTACTCCATCGCCCAATCGTCGTTCGTTGACGCCAAAGCAAAAGCGTCGCCTGACCAAGGATCGCTACAAGACCTACACCATAGAAACCAGCACCAAAGGTGACTTGGAGTTGGAGGCCCTGGAGGCCAATGAAACGCTGCAGATAGAGATTGTGGAGACACCAGTGGCCACCCCCTCACCGCGTGCCAATGGAAGGAGAAGAGGCAGTGCCGAGCGCTACAAGACCCAGTTGATTGAGTGTCCGCGGGAATTGATTCAACCAAATCAAAGCGATGTTTCCCCCAGTGCGATGATGCAGCAGTTTACCTACATTACGAATCAGGAGGAGACTGAGGAATCCCCCGAGTGCGATCAGAACTCGGAAACAGAGTCATGCGATGGCCAGGAACCGGCGCAACTGCCTCCTCCGCCGGCATTAGTGGAGCTCAAAACTCTTGAACCTGCTACGGCTGTGAAATTGGTGCGTGGTCGCAAGAAACCAGCCTATGTTTCACCCTACAGCATGCAGAGTCAACGGAATAGCAGTGGAACAGCCTCTGCCAAAAAGAAAACCCTTTCTCCGACGATTGCCAAACGGAGTTTGGTGCCTGGTGCCAAGAAGAAGCCAACGCCGCCAAAGGAAGTTGCTGCTCCCGCTGCTCCACCTCGCCTGGAGCGACAGGGAACCTTTGTCAAGGACGAGCCCACAAACGCCAATGTTCAGGTGCCCGTGGTGGAGGGGAAAACCAGTCCCAGTCATCGCGCCTCCAAATTGCCCACAAAGAAGGCAGCTGGTTCCTCCGATTCACCCAAGCGAACTATCGTGGCTCCAGTGCGTCGAGCGACGCCCCAAAGGGCCAATACCAGTCTGCGATTGGCAGGGGCCAAGTCACCGGCTGCCTCGCGAGTGACCTCCACACGGGTGTCGTCCACCACGCCTCCATCCCGCAGTAACTCCAATCTAAATGGAAGCAGTGCAGCCGCAGCGGCGGCGGCCAAGATCAATCAGGCCCAGAGCCGGATAGCCAATATCTGGAAGCGAGTGGACGAGGCCAAGACCAGGCAATCGTCGGCCAATCTGAAGTCGCAGAAAACCAAATCTTCCAATACGCTCAACGGAAACGGAAATGGAAATGGAGCCAAGCCAACGCTGCTGCGCAGCTCGACTTTTGATAATAGCCCGAATCCTGGAGCAGCAGTCAAGTCCAAGTTGCCAGTGGTGGGATCGGGCCGGAAATAAATACCTTACATATTCACAAAATTAGCCAGGTTTAAGGGATTCTGTACGCATTTTTTTAGGAACAGAACACGCACAGGTCCACAGCCACAAGTCAGAGTTGAAAATCAAAGAGTTTTTAGGATAGCAGGCAATATACATATTATTATCTACTATGTAATCAATATACTACTCTCCTCTTACTTTATACCCCATAATGTAGTCCCTAAAACTTTGTAAGCATAGAGTTAGCGCAAAAACTCCTAGTAACTTCAAACTAATCCAAAATCACAGTCAGTGAGGGAGCCATCAGAGCTCCCGATCGTGTGTAGCCAAATGTATTGCATATATACACTAGATCAGGCCTTTCAACATGTGTACAACCTCTTCTATATATACAAAATGTATACTGGCATACATATATATATAATTGCTATATATTCGATTTGACACATTGATATCCCAAAATGGGTTAATTAGGAAAGGTTTATTTTGATTTCACCTTTTCACTTAGTTAGGGAGTGTTTCTTGAGACTTAAATCAATTACAGCTGCATAATTGCACTTCTGTTTTACGCAACAGACCTCTATTGGGATTAATTTCTAGGTTTTTAATACGCCCTTGGCTTCCTTATTATGCAAACACCAAATATCTGAAGAGAGATGGAAATCACCTTTTGTAGTCACAGCTTTTTAAGTATTCTTTTATATTATTTAGCAACTTAAGGGTAATCGATGTAGCGAACAGCTTTTGTATTAAGCCAATCATTTTCGACTTAGTTTTTACCGATCCGATGCGATTAACAATTTTTAATATTAATAAATCGAAATATGCTTTTTGTCAGTAAAAAATAAAAAATAATATGAAATTTATTCTGGAATTTGTTGTCACTCAGCTTGGTCACCTCATTCTGTACGGGTATTTTAAAAACTGCATGCAGAATGCCACTCTTGATTGCAGTGTTTTAATCTTATCGGGAATAAAGATACATATGCAATTCCCTGAGAAATTCACTTTATTGCACTTGCAGGTTAGTGAATAATATTTTCAGCAGACTAATGATTATACCCGTTACTCGTAGAGTAAAAGGGTATACTAGATTCGTGCAAAAGTATGTAACAGGTAGAAGGAAGCGTTTCCCACCCTATAAACTATATATATTCTTGATCAGGATCACTAGCCGAGTCGATCTAGCCATGTCCGTTTGTCCGTCTGTCTGTCCGTCTGTCCGTCTGTCTGTCTGTATGAACGCTGAGATCTCGGAAACTACAAAAGCTAGAAAGTTGAGATTTTCCACACATATTCTTGGGCTTCTTACGCAGCGCAAGTTTATTTAAGACGAGCGCCACGCCTCCTCTAACGCCCAAAATCGCCCACTAACGATTTTTAAATCTGTCTGGCGCCCCCACCTTTAAATATTTCCGAGAAGTATAAATGCAGTTTTGTGGTTTCTTATCACAAATGTTAAAACAAACTTTATTTTAATGTGGTATTTTTCCTAATTTAATCTTTATTTAATTGTAATCAAAAGACGAACTCCAATTATTTTGGAGATCGTGTCTGTATAAGAGTGGACTAAACTAGGTAAAAAACAAGAGAGAACGCTATAGTCGGGTGCCCCGACTATCAGATACCCGTTACTCAGCTAAAGAGAATGCGAAGGAGATGGAGATAAAAACTTTGAACCGCCGTAACTTTTTAACGAATGGTCCGATTTAAAAAATTTCTTCTACATTTCGATAGGTATTGATAAACACAACAAAACTGCATTTGTACTTTTCCAAAATATTGAAATTTTTAAAATCGTATATAAGCGATTGTGGGCGTTAGAGGGGGCGTGGCACCTTTTTGAAACAAACTTGCGCTGCGTAGGAACTCCTAGAATCTGAATGCAAAATGCCAATCTTCTAGCTTTTATAGTTTCCGAGATCTCAGCGTTCATACGGACAGACAGACAGACACACGGACAGACGGACATGGCTAGATCGACTCGGCTAGTGATCCTGATCAAGAATATATATAGTTTATAGGGTCGGAAACGCTTCCTTCTACCTGTTACATACTTTTGCACGAATCTAATATACCCTTTTACTCTACGAGTAACGGGTATAATCATGTCAATAAAAAAATTTAATGTAATATCTTTCAAAATCACGTTTTACCGTTTATGGGTAAAAATGTTGTGTGGCTATTTCCTAAACTTTTAAATTTAACGTACCCTTCGCGAGTAACTTTAGTGTGGCCATGTGTTGTTGTGCGAAAAATGACAGCTCACTTTTTCTAGACATAAAGCTAATACACCCACCCCGACCTTTCAGCGTGACCGTTTCTGGAATATTTTTAGAGGTGGAGAAACATCGATGTTTTTTAAAAAAATTATTTATATTTTGTTTTTAAATAAATAAGTAGTATTATATAGCCCAACTGAAAAAATTAACTATAAGTTAATTCAAAAACAAAAAACAAAAGTTTTTATCGGCACAAGAATTTAAAAAAAATTTATTAACAATATTAGCATATTCACATTATAGTTTTATAGGATAGTATGAAAAGCTTAATCCACCAGTTGAATATCTAAAAATATGGTTATACAGTAAACCTAAATTAAAAACACATTTTCCGCCTTTTCTTTAAAATTGGTAATGTGACAAAAACATCGATTGTCGGCAATGCATCGATGTTTCCATCGATGTGTCTCCACCTCTAACACTGGTGGGGCGTGCTGAGTGCCAAATAAACAAACTAGCAGTCCGCGAACAGGCGAATTTTTCGGGAAAAACAGAAAAACCTCGCTTCGAACATCATGCAGTCGCTAAGGCGGACGCGCGTACAGTAGAGCTTGGTCGACAAAGAACCCGGAGTCAGAAACTACAGGCAGCGTGCAGAGATTTTGTGGTGTGTGTTGTGTGTGGGAAAAAAAGGCGAAAAGAAAAGACTTAAGAAGTGCACGAAAATAAACGCAAAAAATCAATGGGCGACCCCCCCGCAGGCAGGGAAATCCAATCCATCCCCCCGCCCCCCGAGAGAGACCTTGAGAATTGAGAGACCGACCCACACCCTGCATTACATTACATTACATACTTTCCATTCCATCCAGCGTCTATTTACATTTTCACCCCACCTGGCGAAACACAGACAGGTGTTGTCGCAAATCTCCCAAGTGGAGTGCCAAATGCGAAATGTTGAATGTTAAATAACCCCCAGACCAGTGTGCATGTATCATAGAAACATGCGCAAGCCTAATCAGTGCTTTTCGCCAAAGATAAGGGCTCTTTTTCGAAGAGTTACTGCTTTCTGCCTCTGCCTTCTGCCCACATTCAAACGCAGCTGGCTGACTGTTTCTGTTTCGGTTTCTGTTACTTTTTCGGATTTCCAACTCTCGGGGAACCGTGACTCAACCCATCCGATACGATACGATCCGCTCGCAGCCAGCCCCATCATAACCAGCTATATCGTCATAGCCAACGCAGGTCTCTCTCTCTCTCGCTCGCGCTCTTGGCCGTAATTCGTGATTCGGGTTAAAAAACCATTCGAAACCTTAAAGACAATACTACCAATCGATTCGGAACCCCAAAAATTTCTATAGGAAATACAGTTGTTGATCTTTTCGCCAGACAGTACAACTTCGATAAGTCAAACTCTCTAAAGAACTAACTTTTTTATTAGCAATGCACTGTGAAAAAGAAATCTTCAAACTTGTCCGTAATTCGTGATTCGGGTTAAAAAATATTCGAAACCCCAAAGACAATACTACCTAATCGATTCGAAACCCCAAAAATGTCTATAGGAAATACAGTTGTTGATCTCTTCGCCATACAGTCCCACTTTGATAAGTAAAACTCTCCAAAAATCCAGATTTTTTTATTAGCAATACACTGTGAAAAAGAAAAGTTCAAACTTGTTCGTAATTCGTGAGTAATTCGAAACCCCAAAGACAATAATACCAATCGATTCGAAACCCCAAAAATATCTATAGGAAGACAATCCTACTTCGATAAGTCAAACTCTCTAAAGAGCTAGAATTTTTTATTAGCTATACGCTGTGAAAAAAAGTTGAAACCCTAAATTTCCATAACTCAAACCTTTAAAAAAAAAGTAAAAACATTTGTATTTTGCAACACACTGCCGTAATCTCCAAACTCTAATTTTCCCCAACCCTGTTCGACCTTCAGAAGTTTGACTGTAATTCCGAGTGCCTTTATTGTTATCATCTCTCTCTCTTTTTTGGGGTCCCCTGTGTTATTGTGTTATTAAATTAATACATTTAGCTTTTGTTCATTTGCTTATTGTTTTCGCCATACAATAAATAAAAAATGCGTGTGTTGTTGTGTCGTATTGTGCAGGCAAACCAGCCCAGATCCCCAGCCCCAGATCGAGATCCAGCTCCAGACCCAGATCCATCGAGTCCCCGGCCAAATGAGCAGCGGTATGAGGTCGCAGGACGGTCCGCGGGCGAAGGTCAATGCCGCCAGCACGCTGCTCACCCAGGAGGAGAACGAAGCCGTCTTCAGGCTGCTGGGCAAGAAGTGTCAGGTGAGTGGTGACGATGATGATGATGATGATGATGATGCATAATAACCTTCCCAACGACGGGGTGATTAATAATTAGGCCATGACACGATTGTCACTCCTCCTCCTTCACTTTCACCCCCGCCGAATAAATCCCAGAGCTTGATGAAGCACTTCCTGCGGCTCAAGTGTCGTCGTCGCCCATCATGTGCGAATATTTTTCGCAGAACCTCTGTTTGTAACCCTATATCATCGGTCGGCCGGTCGACAGCTGCTGCTGGCTGGCTTATTTACCCAATTTTACTTGCACTGCCCAACATATTCTAATTGTTTCTTTGCACACTCAAAGATTTGATACAAAACTGGAGCGGAAATTATAGTAGATATCGGTTGGAATAGTGGAAATTACAGGAGAAAAAGAAAGAGTTATCTATTACCTAGAATTCTTTAGTTGACAATCTAAAAATGTCCGTAATATTTCTTAACTTGAAGGGAAAACCGTGAGAGTAGGTTGGAAAATCAAAAAGAAAGAGGGGATTTTTTAAATCTTTAACATAAAATATATATTTGTTTCTCAAAAATGTATAACTTTTTTAACTGATAAATACCCAAAAATTCACAAAAAATATTCTTTTTTTATTTAAAAGTTTTTAAAATTAATTTGTTTTTATTTATTTGTTTTAAATAGAAACTCTACTTGAGTCAATGCAGATAACCATTAAAAACAAGAGGGAACGTTATAGTCGGATGCCCCGACTATCAGATACCCGTTACTCAGGTAAAGGGAGTGCGAGGGAGATGGAGATAGAGATAGAAAACGTTGATCACGCATAACTTTTTAACGAATGGTCCGATTTGAAAAATTTCTTCTACATTTCGATAGGTATTGATAAACACAATAAAACTGCATTTTTACTTTTCCAAAATATTAAAATTTTTAAAATCGTATATAAGCGATGGTGGGCGTTAGAGGGGGCGTGGCACCATTTTGAAACAAACTTGCGCTGCGTAGGAATTCCTAGAATCTGCATGCAAAATGCCAATCTTCTAGCTTCTATAGTTTCCGAGATCTCAGCGTTCATACGGACAGACGGACAGACAGACAGACGGACAGACGGACAGACGGACATGGCTAGATCGACTCGGCTAGTGATCCTGATCAAGAATATATATACTTTATGGGGTCGGAAACGCTTCCTTCTACCTGTTACATACTTTTGCACGAATACAATATACCCTTTTACTCTACGAGTAACGGGTATAATAATGTTCGTATGGTTTCACAAAAGAAAAAACATGAATCATTATTACACAGCTGTTTTATAGTCCTTATAGATAAAAGAGAATAAACTGTAATACTTGTTTGTAGAACCACAAAAACCATGAATAATATATTATTATCGCAATAATGTTATCTATTTTTGCAATGCATAATACAGGGATTCTTTATGAATCTTATTGCAGTCAAACCAACTTTTTTTATGCTGAATAATGTTCCTAGAACATTTTGTTAGTCTTACTAATATTTACCTATCATTGCTTAGTACTTTTATCAGCAAATGGTTCAAGCGCAATTGTTTGCATTTCTTGATTAGTATTTATTTTCAACTCTATTTTGCCCATTCTTTTGGTGCAAAATGAAAGAGAAACCAGAACGGGTGGGTTCTTCGTTGTATTTCTGGCCAAACTACAGGCGAACCCCTTATCTTATCAATCCATCCGCCCGATGGCGAATACGAATCACCCTCCTATCACCGGCCAATGCCAAGTGCGATAAGAATGCCCTGAAATTGGAGTGTGGAAACCTGGAATGTGACCATTTAACGGCGGCCGTTATGCGGATAATTATGGTGTGCACAACATGAGAAAAATCGCTCATTTCGATTCGCAATTCACGCTTTGCTAATTCGCAACTTTCCATTGACAAAACATTTCCAAAAGCATTTGAACTCTGCCAACTGAACGCCTTTTAAAGGTAGTTAGCCCCTCCATAATCACGCAGAAAAAACAATCTCACTTGTAGCCATTTTTCCTATTTTTTAACCATTTTGAGTCACAATTTTATTGATATTAGGAAAGTTGATAAAAGTAACTGCTAGGGATCAATAAATTATAATGGTAAACCCAAACCTTTTGGTATTCTTTCTCTTTCTGGAGTAAACAAGATGATTTCCTGATATTTTTCAAGACCAACGGCTTTAATATGCAATCAATCATTTAACTATATCTTGTTTTCTGTGTAGCCTATACTCCCTGCCTTTGTTGTGGATGACATAGTGTCACATTCATTGTGTGATAACACTCAAAGCTGCAGCTTAGCAAACCCGATGTTGTTATTGTGGTTTGCAAGTCTATGTTGTCGTTTGTCGCAACATTTGCTCGCATTTATATTTGTATCCATTTATTTAACGCATTTTTCTGCACAAGCTGGACTTTCTAATTGATGTCTTAATGCTTGGCTTTTGTCAGATTTAATCCCTGAATAATTAGTTAATTTTAATTACTTTCTAAAGAATTTTATTGTCAGCTGACTCATTGTAAATATTTGTATATATATATAAAAAAAGATATAAATACCAATGACATTCCTAAAATATATTGCGAATAAATTGGTAGCTATAGATAGCTAGCTATCTATAACAATATTTATAATGTGACATAATAAAGTGACCACAGGGCGTATGAGCATTTTTACCGCTTGGCCCATATGGGTTGATTTTTTACCGCTAAGACCCCTCCTCCCCTTTTTTTTCGTTCGGTGGCAATGACCACTTTTTGTTGTCGCTGGTTTTCCATCGATTTTAATGCTTTTCAAAAGAAACAGCAGCTTGTACGTAGAAGGCAAGACATCATTTTTTTTACAATGCTACTTATGTATGTCCAAACACAATCTTGCCGAGTAAAAAAAAAGAGAAAAAGCTAAGCATCCAATAAAAATTCAAATGTGTTCACAATTTCGCACTTGCCAGAGATACAAGTTGTGTGCGAATGTGTGTGGGCTGGAAGCATCCACATTCACATCCACTTCGACATCCAAATTTAAAGCTACATAAAATTCACTGGCTCGTCAATGTCTCTTTCTCTTTTATGTGAACCAAAGGTCAGCTGCAAACGCTTCTGCATGGCCATTGCCCATCCACCCATTTGTCCCATCCGTCCATCTCTAATGTCCATTAATTGATAATGTTGGATTATGGCTGTTCAACTGCAGTGTTTCAATTACCAGCACGTAACATTTTTGGATCATCGCCATCAATTAGCAACTAGAGGGTCATTCCCTGGCCTCGGCCAAATGCCAAATGTTAGGGCCACAAAACACACACTCACTTTTAAAGGGGCTCAAAAGCAGAAAGTAATTCCTCACGAAGGTTTCAATAAATTCAGGACGCGTTGCCTTGACTTTTCTGGCCCTAAAGTTTATTTTATATTATAGTTTTGGCATCAGGATACTGATGCGGCACTTCTGTGGCATCCTGCACTTTTGCATTTGTCGCCGGCATTTCCTGTCTGGGTCATAAACGCCGTCTTCCATCACACATGGGCACACAGAAAACAATTTTTAGTAATTCAATGTCTTATCCTCAACTTGTTCAGACTTTTTAGGCCGGTCATTAAAAATAGAGAAAATAAAAGAAAATTTTCTCTATAAAAGAACGCAATTTTTTCAGTGAGTATCTACTGAATATTTTAAATACTTTTTGGATATTTTCAATGCGTATTAACTGAAAATTTTGAAATACTTTTTCGATATTTTTAATGAATATTTAAAATAATTTTTTGGATATTTTCAGTCAGTATTAACTGAATATTTGAAATACTTGTATATTTTCAATGAGTGTCAACAGGATATTTGAAATACTTTTTGGATATTTACAAATAGTATCAACTGAATATTTTAAATACTTATTGGATATTTTCAATGAGTGTCAACTGAATATTTGAATTTAATTTGAGTAACCACTGAATATTTTAAACAATTTTTGCTACCAAATGATCAACTGAATATTTAAAATACTTTTTGGTATCAACAGAATATTTGAAATACTTTGTTTAAAACAGATCCTGAGATACCATAAAAAACGGTTTCTAAAATAATTTGATTTTTTCCTGTGCACATTATGGGTTTCCGTTGCTCTTTAGGTCTATACGCACCGATCGGCGGAGAGGTCTTCACTAGACTAATGTCCACCGCCTAGACTTACGCCCTCCATCAACGGGGGCTACGTGCTGTCCATCCTAAGCGGCGGGATTGGCCATCCCGCGACTCCCGGTTGCAGTTGCTGCAAGAGCTGGACAGGCCAGGCTAATCGGTATTCAAAAGAGTCGACACTCACTGGGGGCCAACGACTCGATGGCCAGAAACTAAAGCCAGCGAAACCGAAAGTCAGATGAGTTTTTCAGCTCGAACGCGACAGTTCATTGAGTTCGTGGTCGTCTTCGTGGTCGTTGGAGTGATAGTTGCATTCAAATGAGGCGCAAACTGAAGGTGTTGGAAGGCTTTTGTTCGCTTTGACCGTATATTAGATAATCGCCCCGGGGCCTTTCTATCCATCAGTTCCATAATAATTTTTAACTAACGCAACCTCTGCTTGCTCCACTTTCAACAGACACTGAACACCGCCGTGGTGCAGATCTACAAGACGGAGGGCAGTGCCCATGCCCACTGGAAGAAGCGGCACACCGGAGTCGTCTGCTTTGTAAAGGATAGCGCCATACGATCCTACTTCATGCGAGCCTACTGCCTGATCAAGAACGAGCTGATCTGGGAGCACGAGATCTACGATGGCATGCAGGTGGTCAAGTCGAGGCCCTTTCTGCTCACCTTCGAGGGCAGCGTAAGTAATTCTATCCAACCTTTTTACAAACTAGAGCCCTGCATGAATATTTTTTAATTTTTTTGTTTTATATGAATGAATTAGTTAGAATTTTGAGTTTAATAGAATTTAATGAATGAATGGCATGAATTCCGAAATAATTTAAACGACAATTTCTTTTGAAAAAGAAAGGGCCATAACTTTGTGATTAAATCTGCCTGAATTTTATTTACTAAGCAGTTAACATTGATTTGTTAAAAATTTTCGACTTTTTGTTCTTAAAAAAAAGCACAACAAAAATCTGGCAAATTAAAAAAATTTATAAAAATTATTCACTCATTCATTCAATTCGAAATGAATTAGAAAAACATTCAATTTATTTCACATAGAATTGAATATAACAAATCATAAATTTCATGGCATTCTACGATAAAACAAAAATTGAATGATTCAAATTATTATTAAATATTTTATAATTTAATTTTATAATTTTCAGGATGGTCATGTGGGTCTAAACTTTGTCTCCGAGGAGGAGTGCGACACCTTCTTCCGCATTGTGGACGCCACCATCGAGACGCGCAACCGAAAGCGACAGGATAAACGCAACCGGCAGAAGAGCCAGCCGGCGCCCAATGCTCCACTGCCTCCGCCGGTGTACCGGGAGCCCAGCAGGCCACCGCCCATGCAGAGCGGTCTGTCCGCCACGGACGGCGGCGGCGTTCAGTTGCGCAACAATAAGATCAACTCGGTCACTTTGACGCCTGCGCCGGCGCCAACGAAGAACTTCCTGTCCAGCGGCTTTGGCCTGGGCAGCCAGGCGAAGGACAAGAAGCGCAAGGTGACCAAGGCGGACATTAGCCAGCCCACGAACTTTGTGCACATCTCCCATGTGGGCTGGGATGCGGACAAGGGATTCGATTTGATGGGCAATGAAAACGATCCGGAGCTGAACGAGTTCTTCCTAAAGGCCGGTGTCTCGGAGACGGAACTCAAGGATCGGGACACGCGCGCCTTTATCTATGACTTTATACAGAGCAACAATGTGCTGGCGTCGGTGAAGCAGGATAGTGTGGAGTCGCCGACGGAAACCACGCCGCCTCCCATGCCGCCACCGGTGCCAACGCGTCATCCCTCTGTAAGATTAATCTCTTTCTCTGAGTATATATAAATATTATATTGTATTTATTTTATTATTTAACTTAGAATGGCAACCAAAGAACTGCACCACCACCGCCGCCGGCGAGACAGCCACCGCCACCAGTGCCCGTCACTGCGCCGGGCGCCACGCGAGCTCCTCCACCACCCAGCAGGCCACCACCCATCAGCACAGCACCACCACCGCCGCCGCCAGTCAGTGCGCCCGTTGTAGCGGTAAGTGATTAGGTTGTAACGATTTTAAATGGACAACCCATTAATTGCTTTTCTATTTGGGCAGCCACCACCCCCACCGCCGCCACCACCAGCAGCCGCAGCGGTGCCGCCACCACCGCCGCCGCCCATGCCAGTGGGAGAGCTGCCCGTCATCACGACCACGCACGCACCCAACCAGGCAGCCAGCCGGCCAGCCGCTCCAGCGGCTCCAGATTCACACAATGCACTGATGGACGCCATACGCAAGGGAACCCAGTTGAAGGTGAGTGGACGTTCAATTGGTTTTTAATGACTTACACTCACTTTATTACAACAATTTTGTTAAACAATAAGGAATTTTTTAATTGGAATTTAAAAGTAATTACATTTTTCATAGTTTTGGAAGATTAGTTCAATTAGAAATCATATATTTTCATTGGAAAGAAATTAATTTATATTGTATTTATATATTTTTATGCAGGGTAATTATTATCAACAATCTTAAATGAGTTTAATATATTTTTTATCCCAAGAGAAAGTGGACGTAGAAGAGCTTTTTAATGATTTACACTTTATTACAAAAATGTCGTTTAACAATAATGATTATAACTGCAATTTAATAATAATTAAAAATTAAATTTTTCATAGTTTTGGGGAGAATAATTCAATTAAAATTTATATATATAAAATATATTTTGATTGAAAATAAATGAATTTATTTTGTTTCTTGAACATTTTACTACAAATTATACTCAAAATATTAAATAGCAAAATATTTGTTGGAAAATTAATTTAATATTTTAGTATCCAAACAGAAAGTGGACGTATAATTGCTTTTTAATGATTTATATTTTAATAATGAATAATGCAATTCGATAATAATTATAAAATAGTTTTTGTATAGTTTAATTAATAGGTTAATTCAATTAAAAACCTTATTTTTAAGTTGAAAATAAATAAATTTATTTTATTGGTTTAAAATATGTAATACTTTTGTTCGGGGTAATAAATACTAAAAATCTGAAATGGCAATACTTATATTATAAAATTAATTTAATATTTTTTATCCCAACAGAAAGTGGACGCGGCTGCTCTCAGCACTAGCAGCGGAGATTCTCGCAGCGATTTGATGAAGGACATCCGACAGGGTACCGTCTTGAAACCGGCCAAGGAACGAGAGCTGGGCAGCCAGCGAAATAGCGACAACGGAGGCGGCACCGACGCCCTGGCCGATGCACTGCGTCGGGCGCTGGCGGCACGCGGAAACGCCATTCACTCGGACGAGGACGAGACCGAGTCGTCGGACAACGAGGGCGAGTGGGACTAAGGGAGCTACTCGAGATGACAACACGAGGCGTTAGGGGCAGGCAGACACTATTCCAAATATAAGCAATAATTTAATTCGTGCTTTGGCATTTTGGTTTATCGGTAGATAAATCCCTGTAAATACTGTTAGTGAATTTTCATACCTCTTTAATTTAATTGTATGAGTTTAACAAACAAAACGCAAAAAGTACTAAAGGTTAATCACAAATTGAGAGATTTTTATCAGCAATTGCCCGCTTTCGTTGGTTCCCAAACACATTTGCATATCCATACATAGCTGCTCAATTAAATGTGAACGATGCACTCGAGTGTTTCGTCAATAAAACAAACATATATGTGGGTGAATTTTGCAAACCCCGTTCAGACTACTGTGCCAAAAACTTGAGAACACCAAAATGTAAAAGGAGTTTGTGAAAAATTAGAGATTCACCTTATCTGCGAACTGAAAAACTGTAAACTGAGCGATAGAAATTTATTATAGTGAATATATTTTATAAATCTATAACAAAGGAAAGGATCAAAGGAAAGGAATAAACTGTGACTACACTTAATAAAGCCACAGTTGAGAATTATTAAAATACGATATTTAAACTAATAGATTTGCCCGCAGTTAACCATATACTAAATTTACAAGTTTGCTCAGTAATAATTCACTACTTGTTGAAATAATAATTATCTAATGAAATAAGTGTGTGGCTAAACCAATCCAATAGGCGATGTATTCAATTCATTTTGACCACCAGGCTTCCTCGGGATCGGATGGGTCCCCTAAAAGCTGTCTATTACATCCAGTTACACCTTGTAACTCATAAGTATTTCTTTTTTAGTTCGAGTGCATTTAATGCCAACTTGTAGTCATTTTCTTCTGTGTGTTTGTATTTAAATCAAGATTATTTGTATGTTTTTTCGTGACAATTTCGAAACTACTAAACCCAATAATAAGCTTGTCAGAGCGAGAAATTTATGTCGATCAGATTTTGGATTAATGTGTACGCATGTCTAATGAGTTTTTGTGCGATTTATGTATTTAAATACATAATACTTACTTATGCTAATATATAAGCCATTAATTTATGTAATAAAGTTGTGTATATCTAACTTAAAACTAAAGCTATCCGTACAAAGTTTATTCGCAACTCATGGTATCCGATTCTATTCAAAGCATGATTTTCCAGTCCACAGATATTTACAGTTTTTAACTGAACTGGAGGAAAACATGCATTGTATATCTTAGTCTATGGATTTACGTTTTCCTGAGCCCCGAGCGCATCATCTTGCAGTTCGCGCTCAATGTTGGCATTGTTATTGTTCTCGGCGATCTCGTTGATATTGGAATCATCGTTGGCCTGGCAGCGAGGCGGCCGTTGCTCCTCCTGGTCGAGGTCCTGCTGCTGCTCATTGATGCGGTTCTCAGTCTCCTCGATTGGCCTGGTCGAGGGTCCAGGTGCCATGACCTCCAGCAAAGCCGGCTGCTCCTCTTGAACTAATAGCTGCTGCTCATCTTCCACGGCAGCCTGTTGCTGCTCCGAGAGCGTATGGTTAAGCACATTCTGCTGCTCCTCATCGCACATGTAATTACTTTCTACATTAGCTGCATTGCAAATCGGCAAAGCCTGTGCTTCATTGTCTTTGGGAGCGGTAAGGGAAACGGTTGCTACAGAGTCTGCATTTTCTGCTGGCGATTCGTGTTCGTTGGCTGCTTTCTCCAGAGATTCAGAGGGTTCATTGGGCGAGTGTGTTGGATTGGATGGGAAAAGGGAGAGGTTTTCAGGCATTTCAATTCCAAGGTTAAGCGTAGCTGAACTTCCACTTGGCAGGGATTCATTCTCATCTAAAGTTACGGGGGGATTTTCGAGAATCTTAGCAGGAAGTTCCTGGTATTGATTCTCAACTGGAGCACCCGATGCGTCTTTAAGATTAGAGACCTCTTCTTGCGATTGATCTGCTACTGTCGGTGGATTTTCAGATCCATAATCTGCCAGAGATTGGCTTTCGTCTTCGAAAACGGAGGCCTCATTCACCGAAGATTGGTTCTCTACAGCAGTGGGCGGAAGGTTAGCAGCAATCTCTTCGTCTGACTCTTTTCCAGGATTTTCAAGGGTAGAACAAGGATTTTCCTGAGATATTTCGGCACGGTTGGCGGATGTAACTTCCAAAGAAGATTGAATGTCCTTTGCAGAAGGCGATGGAATCTCCTCTGTCGGGGATTGAGGCTCTTCTGCTTGAGCTTCAGTAATTTCCGCTACGGCTTGACTGCAGATACTGGTAATGACCATACTGAAAGCCGGTACTTCTTTCGGAGTTTGTGGAGGAGTCTCTTCGGCTGGCACAGCATCTGATACCATTTTCTCTGGCTCCACTGGTAACTTATTTGATGCTTCCTCCGCCACTCTTTGAGTTTCTAATGGCGGCAGCTCGATTTCACGATAGATGCGTTGCTCCTCGTCCTCCTCCGTGGCTTCCTCTGCTTCGTCGGCCGATGATCCACTGTCATTTCCATCATCATCGCCCTTTTCCAATCCATTACAGTGCACGGCCTCTGACTCGGAAATATCCAAGTCCTTCTCCTGCTTTACGGTCAAGTTGCTTAGATCTAAGCCATCTATGTAGGCATGCTCTTCCTCCTCCATCTTGTCATTGTGATTAATCTCTTCTTCCTCGTCGCCATAGCCGCGATTTCGTGGCTCCGGCTTGATGGAAACATTCGGCATCATCTTGACTGCCGACTCGCCACTCACCACGGCCACGATCTGCGGCAGAGGAGCGTGCGTCTTGCGTTGAGCACCGCCAGTACTCTTGCGTGCGGTGGATTTAACGGGCTTCGCCTTTGGCTGCTCATCGGGAGTGGCTTCTTCGGCTTTCTCCAGAGGCATAGCTTCTTCAGCCATATCCACGCCACTGGCCACATGCGAGATCTGCATCATACGATCGAGCTCCAGGCGATTTGGCTTAACATCTTCCTGCGGCTGCGCCTCCTTTTCATTGTCATTAAAGTTGCTCTGCTCCAACTGGGCCATCGGAATGGTGGTCATGACAGTGGCCTCGGGAGCATAGTCAACGGGTTCCTGTTTGATTCTAACCGCGGGTTCTTCCTGAGATTCCGCCTCCTTCTCCCTTTCCTTGTGCTTTCGCTTCTTTTTCTTTTTGCTGCTCCTGTTAGATGCCTGGCCTGCCTCATCCAGCTCATCGATGAGCGAAGAGTTCAGCTTGCCGTGATTCTTTGTTATCTTCAGCTTAAGTTTCAATGGCTCCTGCTTCATCGCCATTTGCTTGTCGTAGGCATCGTCCTGGGGCTCCTGCTTCACCGATACACTGGGCACATCGTCCGGCTGCGCTTCATCCTCGCTGTCATCGTTGGCCGCCTGGAAATCATCGCCAAAAGCAGGTGGTTCTTCGGGGTCACTCTCCGCTGGTCCCGTATCATTGATATGCACCTCTGGTTCATGCTTGATGCTGACCAATGTGCTCATTGTGTTCTTGAGCAGCTGATCCACCCGCTTCAAGTAGCTCTTTCTGTTATTTCTGCTCTTCGAGGCACCCGAAGCACGCAGCAGCGGGGAGGAGAGCCGCTCCAGGACGACGACGGGCAGCATGGCCTCGTCTATCACGAAATCCGGCGGCACAGCGACGGCCGGCGGCAGGCCCAACAGCTCCTCCTCATTGGCCTCGTTGGTCACCAGCATTTCGGGCATTACGTGCCGCGAGTGGCCGAGGTAAATCTTCGAGCAGAAGGGCGCATGTCGCATGTAGGCCGTGTCCGTATTCAAAGCGCGACTGCAGCCGCCGCACCTGCGTTTGCGGATGGCACAGCGGTGGGTGTTGAACAGGAAGTTCGTGACGAAGGTCTTCTTGCACAGCGGGCACTCGCGATCCAGGACGAGCAGCTGGACGGGCGTGGGCGGCGTGTGTTCGCGCATGTGGCGCGCAAAGGCGTAGGCATTCGCCACGCTGGTGTCGCAGAGCGGACACTTGTACGGGGTCTTGGAGAGCTTGTGCCACAGCTGGTGGGCGCGTATGTCGCTCTGGTTGTGATGCGTCTGATTGCAGGCGTTGCACATGTAGCGCGGTATCGATGGCACATGCACCAGACTCTTGTGCTCCTCGGCCAGCTCCTTGCTGGGGAACTTTTCGCCACAAACGCTACAAATGGACTTGCGACCGCCCTTTTTCCAGGGTCCCGGTTCAGCGGGCTCTTCTTTGCTGGAAGGGGAAGTTATTAACTAAAAGGAGGATGGTTGGGAATCCCATAATAGTTACATTTCAGGCTCTGTTTTGGGTTCTATGTGGGCAGTCTGCAGTTTCTGCTTCTTGTGCCACACAAAAGGCTCCTTTTTCACAGGCGGCTTCACACCCAGGTTGCTCCTTGGCCAGGTGGAGTCCTCGCCCTTGCGTTTTCTGCCCCGTTTGCCTGGCAGCTGCGGTTCCTCCTTTACAATGGGCCTGAGATCAATGAGCTGGGGAAGGTTTAAGTATTAAATAGTAATATATACTATAGTATAGCACAGTTCACCCACCTTGGTAGGCTCTATTTGCTTCAGTCCCAGCAGATTTCTCGTTTGCTTGTTGGTCGCATAGCACATCTCCCTAAACTCGTAAAAATCATTGATTTTATCCACGCACTGGCTGCACATTGTCTGCGGCATTTTGTCATCCATGGAGACCTGCGAAGGAAAGGGCGTTGGTTCACCAGGTTCACTTAAATAGTAAAGATAAAGATAATACCCACCGTAAAGCCCACCAGTTCGTAGATCTTCTGCGACATACTGGGCTCGTCCAGGTCGATGGATTCGCCTTCATTTGGCAGCAGTATGTGCACTTTTTCTGGATTGTCAATGCCGCACAGCCGACAAATCTTGCAGAGATTCGCCTTGAGGGCCGCGTCGATCTTGAAAGCGAAGCGATCCATCTTGGCCCGATCCTAGGGTGTTATCTCGAGAGGCTTTGATCTTTAATCAACGGCAAATCAGCATGGTTAATTGTTTTATCCCAAATTGAACTCGCATTTTTGTTTATTCCACTTTGCTCTTTTCAACACTGCGAAAAGTGTTGGCAAAAATCGATGGGGTATCGATAGCAGCGATGCTTTCCTATCGAATTACGGTTGTTTTTAATTTATAAATATTTTTTATTTAATTTTTTTGATAAAAATTCTATGTATAAAAAAACAAGTTTCAGCAAAAAAGGGTGGGTTTTGTGTCCCTAAAACCGGTTTACCATTTTACCTCCACGGGATCAAAAAATTTCAATTGACAACCACGCTTATTGGTAAAAATAAATACAAAACCTTTTAACATTTTTTAAAATTGTATATTAGAAGGTAATTTCATTTTGTCCCCATTTGCTAATCTATTTGCTTTTCCCCTTTCCCACAAAAAAATATTTTCATTAAGTGCGCATAAAAACAGCTAATACCAAGAACAAAGAAGTCCATACCTTTTAAAGATTACAGGTAGAGAAATATCTTTGACTAGTATACACATTTCAATCATAGTTTCATAATAGTTTTAAAATGTATCATTAAAACAAGAAAGGAAGCTACCTTCGGCCAGCCGAAGCTTATATACCCTTGTAGATAAAAGAATACTCACTCGGTGCAGTTCCAGGGATTCCAGATTCAGCGTTTCGATTTATTTCAATTTTGTTTTTAAGTAGTCAAGAATCAAAACGCCTACTTCCTACAAAGTTACAATGAATTTTCTTATATTTGTTTGGGAGCCTTAAGATATAGTGGTCCGATCCGGCTGGCTCCGACATATGTACTACCTGCAATAGAAAGAAGACCTTCGGGAAAGTTTCATCGCGATAGCTTTAAAACTGAGAGACTAGTTCGCATAGAAACGGACAGACGGACAGACGGACAGACGGACAGACGGACATGGCTAGATAGACTCGGCTATTGGTGCTGATCAAGAATATATATACTTTATGTGGTCGGAAACGTCTCCTTCACTGCGTTGCAAACATCTGACTGAAATTATACTACCCTCTACAAGGGTATAATTATACATTTAATGATTTTCAATTTGATTACTTTTTTAAAAACCCAATTTAAACGCAATGCAATTTCCCCTTACATTAGTCTTAATATAAAAATATTGTCAAAAGAAATTCTGGAAAATAATTGATTAAATTTAAAATGTGAGTTTCCCCCCATTTTTAATTGTGTAATAATCGTTAAGAGAAGCTAAAACAATCGATTGCATTTTATCAACAGTCATGTGTCAAATAAATAATATTGTAGGAAATAAAGATCGCTATGCGGATAAAAAATATACAAAATAAGTTTACCATGGTTTAGTTATTCCAATTCTAAAATGTTATGGTTTCAACGAATCACGTTCAGTTGTGAAAAGGTAAAAAATAAAAAAGAAATCGGTCATGTGCAGTTTTGCAGCCCTCGTTTTAGAATAAACACAAGAAAGGCCACGGGGAAATTGCATTGCGGTTAGAGAGGTTTTGGGAAATCGCCACCAGGTCTATACACCTCAAGGGATCCTACCCACAAAATGGAGCGCTACTTGAGCCGCCGCGAAAGTGGCTTCCACATCCAGCGGAGCGACGACAACTTGGTGATGCGGCGGATCTACAGCTCGATGGGCATGTTCAATAGCTACCACGCCAACTGCAAACCCACGGAGGCTGGACGCACGGGGGCCATCTTCAATCTGGAGTTTAATGCGGATGGCAACGTGGTGGTGGCCGCCACCGAGAGGAAGTGCGTCCTCGTCTTTGACGCCATCACACAGAAGGAGATCTTCAAGGTCCCAGACGCCCACACGGATAGTGTGAATTGTATAAAGTAAGGTTCTATTTCATTCCCGGGATTTCTAATACTGATTCCTGCTATTGCAACAGATTTTTCGACGAACGCCTCTTTGCCACGGGCTCCGATGACTTCACCGTGGCCCTGTGGGATCTGCGGAACATGAAGCAGAAGCTGCGCGTCTTGCATGGCCACTCCAACTGGGTGAAGAACATCGAGTACTCCTCCAAGGACAAACTACTCGTGAGCTCCGGCTTCGATGGCAGCATCTTCACCTGGGACATCAACTCGCAGACGGAGCAGGGCCTAATCTCGCAGCGCGTCTTCCATGCCAGCGGTTTGATGCGCTGCCGGATTTCGCCCACGGGCGATAAGTTGGTGCTCTGCACCAGCGGTGGCTACATCATGATCATCCACCACCTGGACCTCACCACGCTGCACAAGGATCTGTGCGGATTTAGGGTAGGCAACTCTACAAGGAATCCCTTAGTTTATAAACTTAAGCATCCCCCTTTCCAGCCTGGAATCTACCGACTCATGCAGCTGGGCGAACAGTACATCCCCCAGGCGGCCAAGTACGACCATGTCTTCTCCAAGCGGCAGAAGAAGAACCGCGTGGAGCTGGTCACCGACTTCCCAGAGCAAAACGATGCCGAGATGATCATGGCCCTGCAGATTCACCCGCACTGCCGCTGCATGCTGACCAGGAACGTCAGCTGCGACGAGCAGAGCGAGTGGACCTGCATCCACGACATCAACGAGGAGCCAATGCGCAGCAGCAGCGAGGATGAGGAGCAGGAGGATCTAGAGCCGCAGCCCAAGAGGAAGCGCAGCCGCAGTCAGTTAAATGAGAGCAGCGCAGGAGATCAGGAGACAGCCAGACAGCCACGGAGACCCATGCGTATGGGCACGGTGCAGGTTTTCCATCTGGACAATGCATCGGGAGCAGGTCGCGGCACTGCCTCGGTGTCCACGCGAACAGACACCTTTATACCGGACATCTGGGCGGCGGAGGTGACCGTCCAGGAGCGGGCCATCCGCCAGAACCGGGCGCGCAACTCCAATAACCATGTGAGCGGCTATAACTTTGTGTACGCCATTAGCAGCGGAGTGCTGCCGCTGCGACCCTCGGTGGCCAGTCGGTTGATGGTCAACAGTAGAACGCCGCCGCCCACGGAGGGCAACCAGAGTAGCAGCAGCTCCTCCAGCAGCAGTAGCTCCTCCTCCAGCAGCAGCAGCTCCTCCAGCGACACCACAGTCCGATTAGAGATTGGCCAGCGGCTGCGACTGCGTCCCTTTATGCCCGCGGCGGCCACTTCTAAAGAGAATGGCCATTCCATACTGGTGAATGCCAAGAAGCTTCTCTACTACGCCGCCGAGACAAACACCAAGCCGGGCTTCATCAAGGAGCCGGGATTCTCAGCGGATGGTCGGATTGTCTGCTCGCCCTACGGCAATGGAGTGCGACTCCTCGGCTACAGCGACGATTGCTGCGACTATCCCAGATGCCAGGCCTTCGAGGAGGTGAAACGAGAGCCGCGGAAACTGGTCGAGCTGGCCAAGATCACCGAGCACCAGGACGTCGTGCTGTGCGCCAAGTTTAGCCCAAGGGAGCCGCTACTGGTGACCGGCTGCAACGGCGGCGAGGTGACCTGGTATCGACCCAATCTTTAGACTTCAGCTCTCTGTCACATATTGTACATTTTATTTTCTATTTAAGCATAATTCGACTTATGTCAAGTATATATATTGGCGAAATACAAGCAACACACACGATTATGGTGGACCGATTAAGCTGATATCGTTTATTTGGGGTTGTAAATAAATCAAATATCCTACATATCCGTATATGTATCATTTAGGAATCGTTTAAAAAAATTACAAGTAGTCGTCTATAACTTAACGGAGCAGCGGGGCTAAAGTAAACAAGGTTAATGCTACAGGGGGAGGCTACAAAGGGAGGCTACGAAGCTAGGCTAGGATCTCAATAGTAGTTGCCATAGCCGCTCCACTGGCCGTAGTTGCCTCCTCCGCTGGCTCCGCCGGCTCCATAGCCCCATTGATTGTAGTACGAATCGTAGGCGGCCTGCTGCTGCGGTGGAGGCTGCGGGGGATAGGGACCTCCTCCTCCGCCGGCATTCTGCTGACCATAGTAGGCCGCTCCATAGTTGTAACCCGCGGCCGCCGCTGCTGAACCACCATTATTGTAGGCTGCCGCCGAGGATGAGGAAGCGGGGGCGGAACCCTCTTTGCTGCCCGCTGATGAGTTTTTGCGACTGGGACTGCCATCACTGCAAGAAAATAAATATTAATAAGGATAAAGAAGGCTGAAAGATCTATGTTAAAGTCCTGCTTGAGTACACTTGAATTGACAAACAAGTCAATTTTTTGAAAGTATTGGATCACTTTTTTTTACTTAATCACTCGTAAGGAAAAACAAGTGATAAAAGCACAGAATAAAAATGAGTGGGAGTGATACAATTACTAAGCAAATTATTTAGGTGATTCGAAATTATTTTATATCTATTTATTTTATATTAAATCACTTGTTTTTCCTTATGAAAAATCAAATCAAAAAAAGCGATCCAAGTTAATTGATTTTAGAAATTGACTTTCATTTATATCTATTTATTTTATATTAAATCACTTGTTTTTTGAAAAAATCAAAAGAATAAAAGTGATCCAAGTTATTTGATTTGAAAAATTGACTTTCAAGTGCACTCATGCAGGACTCTGAATTACTATTTCCTACCCCTTCTTCTGCGCTTCGTTAGCTTTGCTTAGAGCCTGCTGCAGTGCTCGCTGGGCATCTTGGAGACCCCTGGCCGTGCTGCCGAAATCCTCAAGGAACTCCACCTTGCGCTGGGCAAACAGCACCTTCTGATCCGATTCAATGTCCGCACGAGCCATAAACTTGTCCATGATCTGGACAACCTCCTGCTCATCCACCTTCTCGCGCTGCAGGCACAAATCGATCATCTGCAGGGCCACCCGCGTGTTGGCCGGATCGCGTTCCAGCGCCTGCTGCAGTGCGGCCACGCCGGCATCGAGATCATGGCAGATTTTGTTGAGGAATCGGGCATATTTGATCGACAGACTGCCGGCAATCGCCTTGTTCTTTGTACTCTCTATATAGTGCTTGTAGAGCTCGCGACACTTGTCCAGAGCTCCGCGACGTCGCTCCACGTTGATGCGGCGATAGGCCAGCTGCAGGAGATTGGGACAACGCTGCTCGATGCGCTGCAAAACGTCGGCGGCGGCATCAAAGTTCAGCTGGCACTCCTCGAAGGCGGCCCACATGAGATGCAAACTGGGTTTGTCCGGGTGATGAATGCGACAGGCGCGCTTATACACATCGCGTATCAGATTAACCACTCCACTCTGATCCTCCAAAGACTCCAGATAGCGTAGCATTTTCAGCCAGAACTCGTCGTACAGAGCGCAGGCAATGAGGCATCTTTCAAACAGAACCAGTACTCTTTCGCGATCGCCCTTTTCGATCTCAAAGTCCAGGTAATCCTTCCAGTTCTTGAGCTGCGCCCTTTCGAGGGGCTTGACGTGGAAGTAGGGACGCTTGATGCCCTCCTCGAAGGACCAGCGAGCGGTCACTGCGCTCACAGTCAGCTTGTGGACCTTGCGACGCGACGAAATGGCCCTGTCCTTTATGCTGGCCACCTCCTCGTCGTTCAGCGTGGTAAGATCATTGAAATCGATCTTTACAGCTGCAGGTGAGGATTCGCCTTCGGTCAGATCGGTGGTGCTATCTGCTGATTCATCGACTGGGGTTTCACTAGAATCCTTTGGCGACTTCTCCTTCTCCTTGTCTTTGTCCTTATCCTTATCTTTCTCTTTGGAATCCTTATCCTTGTTGCTGCTGCTACTGTCGCGTCGATGCTTGGATGAGGAGGACTTCGAGGACTTGCTTTGCTGACGATCGTGGAAATCTTTGCGCAGACGGACTAGCTCCTCGTGCTCGATTGTGCTGGTTATAGCATGCTGATTGATCACATCCTGGAAACTAAAAGGGATTTAAATATATAAAAATGTTCTAAAAATCCTTTATAGTTTTGAGTTCAATAGAATTGAATAACTTTGAATATTGGGCTTAATCGAATAAATGAATGGCTTGAATTCAGAAATAATTCAAACGATATTCTTATTTAAAGGAGACAGAGCCACAATTTTTGGTTCAATTCTCCAGAATTTTATACAGTTATTCATTTCAGAAAGAATTGAATTAAATAAATCAGAAATTTCATGGCTGGATGCTGGATTCTTCTTAAAATTTTCGACTTTTTTTTCTCAAAAGAAAGAACAACAAAATTCTGGGAAATTTAAATCATTCATTCAATTTGAGATGAATTAGAAAACAATTCATTTCATTTCACAAAGAATTGAATTAAATAAATAAAACATTTAATGGCTGGATTTTTCAAAAAATTTCGACTTTTTGTTCTCATAAGAAAGCACAAAAAAACTCAAAACATTCATAAAAATTATTCATTCATTCAATTTGAAATGAAGTCAATCAATTCATTTCACATCGAATTTAATAAAATAAATCCGAAATTTAATGGCATACTACGATACAACAAAAATGGAATGATTCACGCAGGGCTTTAAACACAAACTCACTTGTCAAAGTGGCCATTATAGCCCTGGGTGGGAATGGCCAGTAGCCTATCGTAGATCTGGACCACACGATTGTAGCGCTTCGACTCGTTTTCCCAGCGGATGTAGGCATCCCAGAGTTTGTCGGAGCGGAACTCCAAACCACATGCCTTAACCGCTCGCTCATACTGGTCACGGATGAACTGCTCATCCTCTCCGTGATGAGCCTTCACGTGCATCAGGTAGTGGATCCACAGGTCCACCGATAAAGGTATCGCCTCCAGGCCGCGCTCAAACACCTAGGATTTTTTTTTTTCATTTTCGTACAAGTTTTTGGTTTTTTTTGCATTTTATTGTGGATTGATCGCAGAAGAGAAATATAGAAATATTGTTGGTTTATAATAAACTTTCAAGATTCAAAGTGCTCAGAGACTTATAACTATCGTTTTTTTTTGATGTGAATATATGGTGTTCGAACTTATAGACTAACTTAGCGACTTTACAAATATACGGAATACATAATATATAACACACAGGTTGTAGCACATACTTTAGTGTTCGATTTACAAGAAACTTCACAAAAGAGACTTAAAAATTTCATTTAAACGCCATTTGTACTTACGACTGTACGAGATGCGAGAGCTCACTATTTATATCGTGTTGAAGAAGGATGGAGGTAACGTAACTGAAGAGGTAAACTGGTGATACAAACGTACGAAGATCAGAGATCAGACCGATCGTATCGGATCAAATCGAACTTTCGGGTTCAGGTCGGTGAACAGGTCTGGGGTTTAAGAGGTCAACTGAGCTAAACCGGGCTTACAACGTGAGTTGTGCGACACAGAGTGAATATTACACTAAAAACGTCCAGTTTGTGTCGTGAAGATAAGATTACAACAGTTCAGGGGGGGAAAGATCACCGAAAATACGTGCTTAGGTGAATAAAAAATGGTACCCGAGTATAAATATGCATTAAACAGGTCGATGTCAGTAACAATTCCCTCGCCAGGTGTCTACGGAAGTAGAGCTTGAAAAGATATCGACAGTTTGCTATTTCTCTACTTTTAAAGGAGATTTTCCCTTAAAAATATCGATATTATCGTATCAATTTGTGAAAATATCGATAATTTTCAATCTCTATAAGGAAGTGTGAATTGCGTGTGATTAACCAAGGTTATGAAACCGAAACGAAAATCAATTATTGCGCTATTTAAATGTAACGTAATTTAAGTGGGAAGCCATATTAAAAAGTTTAGAAAACTATTTTTAAGGAAATTGTTCTAAAGTAAGGGTGAGTAAAGATTACTTTAAAAACAAATTCAAAAGTGATTTTAAATAAATTTAAAAATCTAATAAGAAAATGTAAAATAAATATCAAAAAATTAATTTTTGTACCCTTAATCCCCTATACCTTTAACATTCCAATGTGGTTTCCCACCTAAATCTATAATTTTAAAATACAAAACCGGTTTCAGTTTCATTTCCTGTAATAAATGTTTCTAGACACAGACAAGTCCTATGAGAAAACACGACCCTGACTGGAGGCTACACTATATCTTTCTTCTCAATTTGGTGTTTTTTTATTTTGTAGATGTTGCATTTATTGAATGTAGTAGTTTTTATTAGGTCATAATAAATTGCATTTAACAACAAATATATGAATATCAATTGTAATCGTAATTGTAAGCGTAATACAAGAAATTGCGAAAGATATTTAATTGGACGATTAAATGTATGGGTTGTACTCACCTTGTAGCAGTTGGCCTTGATGCCCTTGCGCTTCTCGTAATCGGCGTACTTGCGCCAGTAACCATAGCAGTAGGGATAGTGGGAGAGGAATGTGTCGTAGGCCTCGCGGGCAGCCTCCGCATCGGACTGTTATGGTAAAAAGGTAAATAATTAAGGTATTAAAACCATAAGGGGCTCTAAAACCCACCTCGCTGTCCACGTATTGCAGTAGGTAAGTCCAGCCGGTAAAGTCGGTGGAGTCTTCCTTGACAGCCCGCCAGTATTTATCCAGGTCGGGAAGCTTTTTGCGCTCCTTCTCCTTGTCCTTTTCCTTCTCTTTGTCCTTGTCCTTATCCTTATCCTTCTCCTTATCTTTATCCTTGTCGCGCTCCTTTTCCTTCTTCTTGTCTTTGGGTTCGGTTTCTGTGGGTTTTTCATATTAATCTTTAATCTGATTAACTTATAAGCAGGTTAACTATTACCTTCAACCTTGAGTTTCTTCTCCAGGGGCTGCGCATCGTTGCTTTCGGACGTGGGACTCCCCGGATTGTATTGCTCTACAGACTTTTCCTTTGTGCTCGCCTCACCACCGCTCGCTTCCTTATCTTCAGCGGGCTTATCGCTTTCTTTTTCCGCCTTGCGCTTGAGTGGAGCCTTGGGCTCATTGGCGGCATTATTATTATTGTTATTGCTGGGCAGCTCATCTTCGGAGATGACCTCCGCATCGGCTGGGAGCTCAGCTCGCTGAGGGGCAGGCAACTCCTCGTCCGAAACCTCTTCGGCATCGTTGATCTCCGGCTTGCTGGGCGGCGGCAGTTCATCTTCGGAGATTATCTCTGTGTTGACAATGGTGGCATTGCTGGTGTCCGCCTCATCGGCCAGATCCTCGGCAATGGCATGATGGGAGCTCGAGTCCTCGGAGGAGATCAGTTTCTCCGCGGAGGACTCAAAGTCGGCCTTCTTGTCGCTCTCATCATTGCCACCCACGGAGGGCAGACTATTGGCATTATCGCCGGCCATGGAAGCCAGCAGACTCTCTTTAATATCATCGCTGGTCTCTGAATGCTGCTCGGCGACGGTGCCAAAGGGAAAGGAAGAGCTCTTCTCATCCACGCCGCCGGTTTCAGGGGGCATTTCCACATCGTCGTCGAGTTGATGCTGCGTCTCCTCGAACTGGGGCTCCAAAATGGCGGGAGCCTCCTGCACCTGCTGCTGCTCCTCCTCCTCCTGGACCATGGCTACCTGCTCCTCGGGCTCCTCTTCGTGGTCACTTAGCTGGAATGGAATGGTAAGCAGGTTATTAAGGTTCTACTATAAGTTTTTATAGGTTTAAGAGGATGGTTTAGCCATCAGTTGGCCCTTGCAGGTAATCACACTTGCTCCTGCGGGCAGGAGAATCATGTGCGGATGGAACAGCGCCACATCCGCACCAGAAATTGCAATCGTTTACATCATTTGGTTGGGTTTAAAGATTACATATGGTAGATACGTGGTTAAAAACTGACCTGCGCGTTCCGCTTGGATGTGCGTCGGGTGCTCCTAGTCGTCGTGGGCAGCGATGCCGCCGGGGATGCGGCCTTGCGACCAGAACGTGTGCGGCGACCTGTGAAAACGTCAATTAACTAGCTTAGTTAGTCCATGCGGTTTACATAAACTGTACGCGCGGTTTTGTGGAATCTTTTTTCCGACTGATTTTCTAGCCTTCTGTTAGCGATTGCCAGTGTCAAGTTATGAACTTGACTGGCCAGAATTGAGTAACTAATCACCGGGCACTGCGTTCCGGTCGAATGCAGCTGGTTATTTGTCAATTTATTGGACTTTACCTGGACTTTCCATCACAACGTTTTCCTCTGACGCCATACTTATTATTTATTAGCGATGAGTCGATGCTTGGAGACATCGCTGGTTCCAATAGCGCCGATAAGCTAGGAAGAACTAGTTCATTTCTCAACGTGACCACTGCGGAACCTGTTTTTATACACCATTTGTAGCCAAAAAAATACCAATTGTAAAAACCGCTAAATTTAGTATTAAAATAGCTAGATTGCTCAATAAATAGCAACTATATTAATAAAAAAAGGACGTTTTAATTGTAAGAAAAGCTAATTCATTTTGTAAAATATGTCTGAAAGGTTGTATAATATTTTTTATTTTATGATAACAAGAAATATTTTAAATTTATATTATTTTAAACAAAAAATGTTGGCATTAAGCTGCATTATTAACAAAAATAAAAAAAATTTATTATCATTTAATAAAAAACAAAAAAAAAATTTGTATGGGTAAACTATAAAAATTAATTTAATTTTTAAGTTTTTAAATTGTCCGACTTGCACAGTTAATAATCAAATGATTACTAACGAAATATAAAAATATGGAAATATAAATAAAATTATCGTGTCAAATTTGAAATGAACAAAAAATATGCAAATCAAAAAAAGTGGAAAAGATTAAAAATAATTTTTAATTTTTTGAGGGAACTACCCTAAATGGTTCCTGTTGAATTTTTAAACAGCTGTAAGTTGTTGAAAAGCTTCACGGAACTTAACGTAGTTACTGTCTTAAATTGTTAGGAAGGTAAGAAGAACTAAAAATATGTAAAAAGTAAGAAACAATTTTTTAAGATAACCCCTTTACCCACGACTTAGATTACATTTAAATTTTACACTTATAGCACATAGCTATAAACTCGCCATCTCCGCATCGCCTTTAGCGGGACTGCCACTCGAGCGCGTCTTGCAACACTGTTCTCAAAATGGCGACTCGAGAATTGTAAGCGTGACAAAAACAACAAAGCCGAGGCGCATTTCACAATAATTAAATGTTTTTCGATCAATTGCGGCGCGTTTAACCCCTCGAAAGCGAACGCGATGCGTGATCCGCGGACCCAGTGACCCAGTGAACGAGGACCAGTGAGAGCGGCGCTCCGAACAAAGACAAAACCCGAGAAAAACGGCGAGCGAAAACGCCGACCGCATAACCTGTACGTGGTACGTGAGCAGGCAAACCGAATGCGAATGGAGGGAGGCAAGGGAAGCGGAGGAGGAGGAGGAGGAGGTGGTGGCGGGAAGCGGATGAAGGAGGAGGCGCCAAGCAAGAAGTTGCCGCCTAAAATCTACGGCACCGATGCGGGCACGCCCACAAAGGCGGCCCACGACGAGATCCTCAGTTCGCTGCTGAGGATCAACAATTTCGACTCGATATCGAGCATCAAGGATGAATCCCTGGACATTGATCTCTCGGCCTGCGTGACCATCAGTTCGGCGAGTCTGGTCAACGGGAACAGCCTCTCCTCCACGGACTTTTGGCGCGTTCTGGACGAGAGTGCCCAGAACAACACCGAGCTGAATCTCTCCTCGGATGTCGCCTCCTCGGCAACTCCCAACTTGGCCAGTGATAACCACTCCAGCTCCGAGTTTAGTGTGACTTTTCTGCGCCCGGAGCCGCCGAATGCTTTTACCAACTCGCCCTTCAAGAAGACCACCAGCGGCAGCGGCACCTCCACTCCCGTCAAGCTCTCCCCGGAGCAAATGCATCAGCAGATGCCCCAATCCCAATCCCAGTTGCTCCAACGCAAGCCCAAGCTGCCGGCGGCCACGGCGGTGCGCCTGAAGGTCTTCAAGGAGGAGCCGCCCGAGGAGAAGCATCCGCCGGAGCAAGTAATCACCAAGGTGGAGCCCGAGTTTCTGCCGCCCTCCTTCTCCATGTTCCAGCAGGCCAAGTCCTCCTCCGATGATGCCGTCAGCATGCCGCCACCAGCAGAAACCAAGCCAAGCTTCGAGGTGGATCCCTCGCCGCTGCACAAGTGCCTCGACTGCAATGGCCAGCTGCTGGAGACGCCCGACGAGGTGGCCAAGCACGAGGCGGCCGGCCATCGGCTGAGGCTCACCTACCGCTGCGCCGAGTGCCAGCGGGAGTTCGAGCTGCTGGCGGGGTTGAAGAAGCACCTGAAGACGCATCGCAGCGAGGGACGCAAGGACACCTGGAAGAAGTGTCCCGATTGCGGCAAGTGGTAAGTACTACCAGGAATCCCAAAGAAAACAATCTTATTGCCTTATTTTTCCTCCATTTCAGCCTCAAACTGGGCAGCATGTGGATGCACCGGAAGATCCACAGCGACAACAAGAAGTACCAATGCGACATTTGCGGCCAGAAGTTTGTGCAGAAAATAAACCTCACGCATCACGCCAGGATTCACTCCTCAGAGAAGCCCTACGAGTGCCCCGAGTGCCAGAAGCGTTTCCAGGAGCGCTCCCATTTGCAGCGCCACCAGAAGTACCATGCGCAAACGCGTTCCTATCGCTGCGAAAAGTGCGGCAAGATGTACAAGACGGAGCGCTGTTTGAAGGTCCACAATCTGGTGCATCTGGAGCAGCGACCCTTCGCCTGCAACGTCTGCGATAAGAGCTTCATCAGCAACTCGAAGCTGAAGCAGCACTCCAACATACACACCGGCATGCGGCCCTTCAAGTGCAACTACTGTCCGCGCGACTTTACCAACTTTCCCAACTGGCTGAAGCACACGCGGCGTCGGCACAAGGTGGACCACAAGACGGGCGAACATCTCGAGAACATTCCCTCCTATTGCTCCAAGAAGTCGACCACGAATAAGGCTCAAAAGGCAGCAGCGGCGGCGGCGGCGGCGGCGGCAGCAGCAGCGGCGGCAGCGGCTTCTACAGCAGCAGTGAATCCCAACGAAACTACCGCTTCCGCTGAACTGAAAGTCAAGCCGAATCTTCCGCCAGCTCCCGCGAAACAAGCGCGAAAAAAGAAGCAACCCCAGCAGGCCACTCTAGCCGCCTTGGGAATCACTCTCCCTGCCGGCACTGCGCTGCAGCAGGTGCATCCAGTGCCGCAACAGCAGGAGCTGACCACTGTGCTGGTGCCACTGCCTCCGCCTCCGCCGGCAGCCAAGCAGACGACCAAAGCCAAGCGAGAACGCAAGCAGCTGGCGCCCAAGCAGTTGCAACAAAAGCCACAGCTCCTGCAGCAACCGTGCAGTCTAGAACCCATTGCCACTGCAGTGCCGCAAATCAAGAAGGAGCCCGTGCAGAACCAGGGACCCTTCCTCGACCTCCACGGCCTCAGCCTGACCTCCGCCGAGGAGCTGATCATGGAGCAGGCCCTCGAGATGGAGGAGTGCGGCCTGTACGACGCACCCAATGCGAGCACGGAAATGGGAACTTCGGACAACGCCATCTCGGATTCGGCCGCTGCCCTGCATTTCCAGATAAAGAACGAATTGCCAGACGAACTGTTGCCGGACGATGATTTCAGTAGGTTTATAATTTATATTTCCCTTGTAATTGTATTCTAATCAGAGATGGGTATCAATTAGAGCCCCGCATGAATGGATTCAAAGAATAATTTTGAATTTTTTGTTTTATATGAATGAATTAATTAGAAATTTGAGTTTGAAGAAGAAAGGGCCATAATTTTCTGATTAAATCTGCCTAAATTTTATTTACTAAGCAGTTAAAATTGATTTGTTAAAAATGTTCCGCTTTTTGTTCTCAAAAGAAAGCACAACAAAAATCTGGCAAATTCATAAAAATTATTAATCATTCATTCACTTCGAATTGAATTAAACAAATCAGAAATTTCATGGCATACTATGATAAAACAAAAATTAAATGATTCACGCAGGGCTCTAGTATCAATGTTTAGTCATGTTGATACTTTATCTGATTATAATAACAATATATAATTGAAAGATAACCAATTAATTGCCCTTTTTCCACCTGCAGTGCCTTGTAAGCCCAGCGACCGCCTAGCCTGCCCCTCACTGGAGTCCTCGCCGTTCTCTTCGCCCGCCTCCATGGAGCTAACCGCCGTATCCTCTGCATCCTCCAGTGTCGCCACATCGACCCAAGCATTACCAGTGCGATCTGGGAACTACTACCTGCCCGCCTTTACGCTGAACGCGCATGACAAGATTAGCAGCAGTAATGCCGGCGGCAATGCGATGCAATCGGTGAGCACGAGCTTGGCTCAGACACCCGCGGCGGTGTCCATGGTGAACGTGCCGCTGCTGGTGCGATCCAATCAGATGCTGCCCTCGGTGGACACGCTGCTGTTCACCAACCAGGCCGGCGGCAGTCGATTCTTTGCGGGAAAATCGGCGACTGCGGCCACGCCGCATCTGACATGATGCTGCCCGCCAACATGAACGCCTCAACGATCTCCTGTGTCTTAGTTAAGTTAGCCGTGTCCACAATGGGCGGTCGCTGACCGCTGGCAATCATTTAAAAGAATCCGGATGAGTGTCCGTAGGTTATTAAGAGTATGACGCTACATTTGTTTTAGTATTTGACCTAAGCTGATTTCTGCATAGTCCGTAAGTGTATTTGAGTGTATATATATACGTTTATATATAGCAACATAATGATAGATCTTTAATTTGTACGCTTCACACCAATAATAAATTTCGTACATATTTTAGTATAGCCAATACTTTATTTACTGTTGAAATAGAAGGCTGGAGATTTGTACCAATACTAAATTTTATACTAGTAATTGAGAATATTCCATAAGCATCCAAAAAAGTGAATAACTCTTATAAATCCATAAAGCAAAATATGTCAGGAGTGCCGTAAAGGATCAGGATCTATAATTTCATCTTTACTTTGTCATTTTTCATAGGCGGTTCAAGAAGAATATGTATTTGGGCAGAATTTTTGGTCATCCGCCCATAAAGAATTATTCGAAAATAAGAACAAAGACAAATCCTAGTTTTTTAAGAGTTTTTATTTATTATATGCCAATTTTTTATATGTATGTTCATCCATTTAGATTTCTGTTAAGCCACTCATTTCATTTTGAACACATCGCCCTGTATTTCAATGCAAATGCGAGTTGGCCGCTCGGTTCCAGAGGAATCGTAGGCTCTCATCATTATGTTGGCTTTGTAGCGTCCTTCTCGAAGGCCAATGACGTTGGCGGTCAAACTCAGCAAAAATGGCTCATGAATCATTTTGGTCTGCAATGGCATTTTAAAGGCAAGAGATACCACAGATATTTCACAAAAAATGTATTAAATACTTACCCCGGGAACATTTAAACATTTATCCTTGGTATCGTTTAATATATACTGTGTCCAATATTTGTACCAGAAATAATTTTTGTCGTACATCTCCTTGCAAAAGTCCCTTGAAGTAATGGAAAATACTGTGGACGTCCAGGTGCCTCTTTCGAGATACAGAAGCTGCATGTTTACCTGAAAAGGATACATAAAATGTCAGCAGTTGTCCAATCTTTTAATGTTGGTTGCTTAGAAGTCCTAATCACCTGTATGCGATCCTCCTGTTTAATGTCCCATATCAAAGTCGAGTTTCCGATGACGGTAATACCGTTAGCATCCATAGAAGTTGAAAGCTCGGATAAATCAAACAAGCCATTTACGTCAAGTGTGCCGGGAGCGGGATCAGGACAACTGCTGAATACATCCTCATCCAAAACCGTAAGTTCATACTTAGCTCCAGTTGTAAGTGTTATAATGAAGAACACCACCAGTAGGACTACTTTCAGATCCATTTTCCACGAATTTTATTTCGGTCTTTGCTTGCAAACCTTTAAAACCTTTATATACCTTTCAGAATAACGATTCTCCAGATTATTAAATTAATTACTCCTTATTTGCCCCAGGTTTATAGTGTATCTACCCAGTCTTTTATTGATTATAATTATTAGTTATGTTATCACGTTTGAATTAATACCTATCAATAACCTTCTGGTTATGCATGTGAAAAATTTTCCATTTCCGGTTAGGTACAGGTTATCTCGTAATTGGTAACAGTGGCGTATGCAGGATTTAGTTGTAGGGGGCTTTAAAAAACAAAACATTTTTGTTGCATACTTTTTAAATACTATACTTTACTTCACTTTCTGACAAAATATTTAAAGCCCGTCTAGAAAGTTTTAGATTTTAAAAGATCTGTTAGGTCCAGATTCAGGGAGGGGGAAATTTATATTGAGAATTTATATTGATTTTAGTAATTTATGTGTGATGATAAATTTTTGTTTAATTTTATTATTTCAATAAAAAGATGATTTTTTAAAAACTGTTGAAGCATTTACAAGATGGACACTCATAAGGCAAAGGGCAGAGATTTCTTCGCTTCCGCTGATTTTCGGACTTTGTACAGATCCCCCTGAATTTCCATGCAAATGCGAGTTGGCCTCTCGGTTCCGGAGGAATCGTAGGCTCTGAATATGATTTGGGCCTTGTAGCGTCCTTCGGGTAATGTGCCCGTTGCGCTGGCGGTTAAATTTAGCACAAAGGTCCTGTGAATAAATTGTGTCTGCAATACAAAGAATTCGAGTGACATTTTTAATAGAAAAATTGCACAAATTTTGGAGCTATAAATACCTACCCCGGGAACATTTAAACATTTATCCTTGATATCATTTGTAATGTACTCCGTCCAATATGAGTACCAATACTGATTTTTGTCGTACATAACTTTGCAGAAATCCCTAGAAGCGATTGAGAATACTGTGGGAGTCCAGGTTCCTCTGTCCAAATAGAAAATCTGCACGTTCATCTAAAAAAGATGTCAGGAGTTCTATTGTTGAATTGGTTGTATTTAAGGACTTTATCACCTGTACGCGATCCTTCAGTTGAATGTCCCATTTCAGAGTAGAGTTTCCATCTACGGTTACACCGTCAGCATCCATAGAAGTTGAGAGGTTCGAAAGATCGAACATGCCATGTATGTCAAGTGTGCCGGGATCAGAATCACGACAACTGGTGAATATATCCTCATCCACAACCAACATCTCATACTTTTCGCCAATGGCATAATGGCTAATGATGGTCAACACTGCCAGTAGTATTATTTCCAGATCCATTATATCAACGAATTAAAGCTATGAAATGGCTTTTTACTCGAATATATACCTTGCTGAATCACGCAGTGCTCACGTTTATCATATTAATTACGCTTTACCTACCCCAGTTTTTTAGTGTACTTTTAAATCTTATATTAAACCCGCATCTCTACGTATGACATTTCAGTGTCACCCCCAAATCGAAACATTTACATATATCATGTGTACTTATCTACTTATCCACCCATGAAAAAATTGTTTAGTTCGGCCCTCTCATTAAAAAATTATAATTAAAGTTTTGGGCGCTAGGTGGAGCCTTCTATTTTTGGCGAACAAATGTTTACTTCTTGAGTGCTTAAACTTTACATTCAGCTTCTACTAGTGTCCTTTGCCCTTAGCCAAGTCCCACGCCCCCTCTAACGAGCGTGGTTCCCAAATTTTATAGATTTTTTTCAGTGTACATTATATTTTATTTTTTAATTATTAATTTAAATATTATTTTTTTAAATTATAAATCGCCCTAATAGTTAATAAGTTAAATTGTTTTGCTGAGTAAACGCTAAATAATAGTCGTAGAACTCGTTCTCTCTTGTTTTTCCCACGATTTTCATCAGATTTAGGCCTTTGTAACTGTATTTCAGCCCATTATAAGCAAATATTTATTTATTGTTGAAGCATTTACATGCAAAAGACAGTGATTTCTGGTTAACCACTGATTTGCTAATTACACTTTGAATACTTCGCCCTGTATCTCAATGCAAATGCGAGTTGGCCGCTCGGTTCCCGAGGAATCGAAGGCTTTGAACATTATGTTGGCTTTGTAGCGTCCTTCTCGGAGTCCAATGATGTTGGCGGTTAAACTCAGCAAAAATGGCTCATGAATCATTTTGGTCTGCAATGCGAAGAAATGAAGTGGCATTTTCGCAACAGTTTTACACAAATTCATTTACCCCGGGAACATTTAAACATTTATCCTTCACATCATTTGATATATACTGCGTCCAAAATTTGTACCAGAAATTATTTTTGTCGTACATATCCTTGCAGAAGTCCCTTGAATTAATTGAAAATACTGTGGGCGTCCAGGTGCCTCTTTCGAAATACAGAAGGCTTACGATCACCTGGAAGGGATACAAGATATGTCAGAAGTTTTCTAACCTTTTAGCGCTTTTTTAGAAAAGGTCTTAGTCACCTGTATGCGATCCTTCGGTTGAATGTCCCACGTCAAAGTTACGTTACCACTTACGGCTATTCCGTCGGCATCCATGGAAGTTGAGAGCTCCGCTAGATCCATAACGCCACTTATGTCAAGAGTGCCGGGAGGAGCATCAGGACAACTACTAAATACATCCTCATCCAAAACGGTAAGTTCATACTTATATCCAGTTGAAAGGGTTATAATGGATAGCACCATCAGTTGGACTACTTTCAGATCCATTATATCCAGGAATTGTAGTTCCGTCTTTCCTTTAAAACCTATATATACCTTTCAGAGTCACGATTCAACTGATTATTATATTAATTACCCCTTAATTACCCCAGTTTTTTTGTGTATTATTGATTTTAATTATTGATTTTAATTATTAGTTAAATGATCATGATTAATTTAATACCTATCAAAACTTTTCTGGTTATTTTCACAATTGGTAACAGTGGCGTAACCAGGATTTGGTTGTGGGAGTTTTGGGGGATTTTATGGGATTTGGATTCGATCATGATTGTTAAGTCCGTATAAAAAGTTACTCGCTAAGGTAAATAAAATTTATAATTTATTCACAACAATTGTTTAATAAATTTGAATACATTTTGTGGAGCTGTCACAGAAATCGCCAACCATTTTAGCTTAGAATTTATATTGATTTAAAACATTTTCAATAATTATTTTAATAAGTACGTAATTTTTATATTGTTCGTCATGCAAAAGACAGTGGTCTCTGGTAAACCACTGATTTGTTAATCACACTTTAAAATTTAAAGTGTATTTAAAGTTTAAATACTTCGCCCTGTATCTCAATGCAAATGCGAGTTGGCCGCTCGGTTCCAGAGGAATCGTAAGCTCTGATCATTATGTTGGCTTTGTAGCGTCCTTCTCGAAGTCCAACGGCGGTGGTGGTTAAGCTCAGCAAAAATGTATTATGAATAATTTTGGTCTGCAATGCAAGAATTGGTGTGGTATTTTAAAGGAAAGAGATACCACAGATATTTTTGATACAAATTGATATAAATACTTACCCCGGGAACATTTAAACATTTATCCTTGACATCATTTGAAATATACTGCGTCCAATATTTGTACCAGAAAAAGTTTTTGTCGTACAAGTCCTTGCATAAGTCCATTGAAGTAATTGAAAATACTGTGGGCGTCCAGGTGCCTCTTTCGAGGTACAGAAGCTGCATGTTTACCTGAAAAGGATACATGATATGTCAGGAGATGTCCTATATTTTAATGTTGGTTGGGTATAGGTCTTACACACCTGTACGCGATCCTTCAGTTGAATGTCCCACGTCAAAGTTACGTTGCCGCTTACGGTAATACCGTCAGCATTCATGGAAGTTGAGAGCTCTGCTAAATCCATAACGCCACTTATGTCCAGTGTGCCGGGAGGAGCATCAGGACAACTGCTGAATACATCCTCATCCAAAACCGTAAGTTCGTACTTATATCCCGATGCAAGGCTTATGATGGATACCACCACCAGTAGGATTTCTTCCAGGTCCATTATGCTCACGACTTGTGATGCTGCTATTTCTGTTGGAACCTATATATACTTTCCAGAACCACGCAATGCTTCGTTTGATTATAAATAATAGCCCAAATTTGTGACAGCCTTTAATTATCTATAATGAATACCTCTAAAAAACCCAATTGTTTGGCACGTGTACTACTTCATTTCATAAAAATTACAGGTTATCTGAGTTCAGCAAGATCTATAAGGCAAACACAATTCAAAAATGTAAAATTCGCTTTAAACAATTTAATTGTAATTAAATAGTTCGTCATTATCTTAATTAAATCGAATTAATATTAAAAACTTACATAAATTTGTATAACATTAACCCGTTAAAAAATATCTGTTGTACCTCCATATTCACTTTGAATCCCAAAATTTTTCCCGACGCAAGTATTAAATTCTATATCTAGTAGGTCAGTAGCTAGAATTTGCAATGATGTCCATAACAATTTCGTATGAATTCGGCACGTAGCCATTTCTGTGTCACCGCCGATATAATGATAATTATTTTATATTTTTATTATTTTATGAAATATCCAATATTTTTAACATCGTGATTTTGTCGATTACACTTTAAATAAATCGCCCTGCGACTCAAAGCAAATGCGGGTGGGCCGCTCGGTTCCAGAGGAGTCGTAAGCTCTAAACATGAAGTTCAGTTTGTATCGACCTTCCCGAAGAGAACCCGTGACGCTTTCGGACAAATTAAGCACATAGGTCTCATAGATGAATTTTGTCTGCAATACAAAAAGAACAAACGTCTCACAGATGTTTCATAAAATTTGTTGCAATATACCTACCCCGGGAGCATTAAGACACTTATCCTTGACATCATTTCTTATATACTGCGTCCAATATTTGTACCAGTTCGGATTTTTTTCGTACATAACCTTGCAGAAGTCCTTTGCAGTAAATCCGAGCATTGTGGGTGTCCAGGTGCCTCTGTCCATATACAAAAGCTTAGCGTCCATCTGGGAGAGATTCATGATATGTCATGATATATGACATATGATATATGTGAATCAGGGGACCTAAATACCTGTACGCGATCTTCAAGTTGAATGTCCCATTTTAATGTCGCATTTCCGCTTACGGTTATACCATTAGCATCCATAGAAGTTGTCAACTCTGATAAATCAAACAAGCCATTTACGTCAAGTGTGCCGTCAGCTGGATCAGGACAACTGCTGAATATATCCTCATCCAATATCAGAAGCTCATACTTAGCTCCATTCGCGAGGGTTATGACGGAGAGCACTACCAGTAGGACTACTTTTGGGTCCATTATAATCACGAATTTTAACGCCATCGTGGGTGTCAAAACCTATATATACTTTCCAGAATCACGTAATGCTGTTTAGATTAATTAGCTAATTATTAATAATTAGCTTGTTTTTAGTTTTCAGTTCCAGCCAGCATGTTTTATAAATACATCTCAATAAACTAATTGTTTTGCATGTGTAGAACACCCCATTTCCTGTAGAGTAAAGCTTAGCTCATGGTTGGTGTAAGGTCAATACAATACACAAATATTTTTTAGTTAATAGTGTAAAAGAAATTTGCAGATATTATCATCAATTTGGTTAGCTTAAAATTCTTTACGAAAAAATTGTCGAAGAACTTTTTTGGTCTTTGTTGGTGTGGTATTTTTGTAACAGTGCTGAGTAATTTTCTTTAATAATAATGCACAAACAAAGTACGCCTTCGATTTACTGGTGTAGCTTGTGCACGTTGGACGTTTGGCGAAAAACTATTGAAATATTATTATAAAGTATACATTATTATTTCTGAACTTTATAAAGGTCGCTTATTATCTCATAGCATATGCTTGTTGGCCTTTCGACATTGAAAGCGTCGAAAGCTCGGAACGTTACGTAGGCTTTGTGGCGACCATCACGTATCGGACCCGTGACTGTCAAGTTCAGAACATATTTCTCCAACATTATTTTCATCTAAAATGAAATCGTTTGAAAATTAAAATGACAATAAATAATATACAATTTTTAAGGTGAACATAGGGTATACACGATTATTTAAACCTACCCCTGGAACATTAACACATTTATCCTTGATATCGTTGGTAATATGTCGTGTCCAGACATTATACCATATTTGATTTTTGTCGTACATAACTTTGCAGAAATCCCGAATGAGCACGGAAAACATTGTCGGCGTCCAGGTGCCTCTATCCAGATAGAAAAGTTTTACTGCGAACTGCAAAATACATGGGTCATTAAAGCTTAATATTTGATACACAGAATTAATTTAATTTAATTAATTAATTTCTACCTTTTTTCATATCAATAAAGAGGCGATATGATTTATGTCAAATTTATGATTCAAACATATCCACTTGATAGTAGTATTTTTTTTTAACAAATATTGTAAAATAAGATAACCTTAATCTTTATTCATACCAAAATGATATGAATTAATTTTGATCTTTAAAAAATATTAAATTAACCTGCACATGTTTTTTCTTTGTATCAAGGTCCTAGTTACCTCTACGCGATCCCCCAATTGGATGTCCCACACCAATGTCGTGTTTCCGCTAACAGTCACTCCTCCATCCGAATCCATTTCAGTTGAGAACTCGGAAAGGTCCAAGAAGCCATGTATGTCTAGTGTGCCGGGCGCAGGATCAGGACAACTGCTGAATATATACTCATCGTAGACAACCAGTTCATACACGGCTCCGTTTGAATGGTATAAGAACGAGAGCACCGCCAGTAGAATTACCTTCAGTTCCATCGTATTTGAGCAACACAACTGATTCGTTGTCGATTACACCAATATATACTCTGCAAAAGCACGCAAGCTTCTGCTAATAATATTAATTACTCTTCACCTAACATAGTTTTCTACACCACCTGTCTAATCGCCTACCTGTTATGTGTAATTGCTAATTACATATCAACCTCTAACCACAAAACTTGTTAGTATAGCCTATTAATTAGATGTGAGTTTTGAAGATTAAATGATTTGCAAAATAAATATTACTTAAATAAAAACAGTGGTGTAGCCATAATTATGATGAGGGGAGTTTTCAGTAAACATTTTGTGTAGCATACTTTTGAAAGCCATATCTTTCGTAGGATTTCACCCTGCCCATTTCTTTTATTAACATAGATGTTTTTGAAACACGTTTATGGATCAGTAAAATGATCTCTCTTACACAAAATATTTCTTAGCTACTTCATCTTTCGCTAATAATATAAAATATTCAAATTGGTTTAGCTATTATCCTATGTGTACATTGCAGTGCCCTAGGGGTTGTTCCTCATTCGCCCGTACTTTTTGCTATTACTTACCTGCGGGCAAGCAGGGAGTTTAAACGATTTGCCTTTTATACCACGCATGCATTCAAAAGAGGGGTGAGCTTAGGGAGTTTTTTTTTCTGGGGGGTGGGAACTTTGCTTCAACCCTATTTGTGTTAAATATATTATGAATGCATATTATATAAAAATGTGAGTGTAATTTCTGGTCTACGCAAAAACACACAAGTAATAAAAACTTGTCAAATTTTTTTGGGCCCTAAATTGTTAAATTTACAGCACCCCTGCGACTTTCCTCGAAGATTTTTTGATATATGTATTGCTTCGTTGACATTATGAGACATATTGAAAGGCTTGGAAATGGGAGCAAATTACGCAAAATGATTTGGGTATTTGGTAATCGTATTGAAGTTCACAAATTGATTTCTGTCCTGAATTATGACTACTTTTTGGAGTAGTAAAGCGTTTTGATTCGGATCCCTAAAAGTGGCAAACCGTTATGATGACACATAAAACGTTTGGTTAAAACGTGGCAAGTAAAACCCTTTCGATTTCGACATGCCTGCTCCCGAGTCCACCATATCCTCATCCATATCCTAGCCGTACCCGTAAAAGGGACCACACACAACGTTGGCTGACAATGTCGCGACAACAGAAATGACAGCATAATAATAATAAAAGGGAATAAAACACACAGCCAGCTGCCCACATACCACCCACTTTCAATGGGGGGGATTCTTGAAAGCCCCAGTCGCAGCAACAAAAACAAATAAAGCAACAGCGATAAATATCGAAAGGCATAAATAAACCGGTGTTTGGCTGCGTGGGAGAGTGAAAACACAGGTGCAGACTGGAGCTAATCAGGTAGTTATTACATTTATTCCCCAAAATATGTAAGTTTTACTTTGTACAAGTTGAAATATAATTTTAAACATAATAAAATCAGAGGTCAGTTTATAGTTCTATGCTAATCCGAATTTTTTAAGGGTCACAAAGTTTAAAAATTCAGGATCGGGGTCACCTTAGGTCTTATCTCTGGGATATCATAAAATTTAATAAATATTATAATGTCTTTCAAGTCACTTAGCTTTTCACTCAGCTTTTAAAAACTTTTAAGCACATATCAAGTATAGAGTAGATGGTGATTTGTTTGCTTGACTATTCGGCTCGAAGGACCAAAGGTGACATTTACACGACTTAAGCACCAGGACTCGCACAGTTTTAATATTAAAAAGAATTTCTCAGCCCAAAATATCCTTAAAAGAATATGAAAATCCTAAGAGGTCTATCAAGCTTATAATATTTTTTCTTAAGCCCTCTAACCCGCTACCGCCCAAGAGGCGCTCCTGGGCGAAGCGAAAGAGTTACCCGCTCGTTGGCGGCAAAGTGAAGATGCCTGGCGTCGGTTTGTCGACGCTTGGCGCGTTTTGTAAATATTTACACATGTAGCAGTTACCTGTGATTGTGATTGTAGCGCCATTGTGTGTGTATGTTCGCGGGGATGTGTGTCTATAAATACACACACGGCCGCGTATATCCTCACAATATGTATGTGTGGGTGCTTAAATATTTGCCGCTTGCCTTTATAAAAGAAAACATTGCCTGCTTTCGGGGGCTGTCATTTATTACTGTCTGCCGATATTTTAATTAAGTTTATAATGCCAGCTGCTTTGGCAGGCATTTGCGAGATGGAGGCAGGCATCAGACAAGTGGGCGTGGTGCCGCCCATTAAGCCGACATCTTGCCCCCTATCCACCCACTGAAAAAGGCAACGGAAAGCAATAACACAAGTGGCACGTGACTTGTTTACCATATAGAATTGTTTGTCCTTATGGTTTAAATGTCGCAGTGCACATGCAAAAAGATATACACACAGCTCCAAAACGAAATCTGCAATCATGGGGGTTACAGTTGCACCTAGGGCAATAGCATTCAAGATTATAATATTGTGAAAATTAAAAAACAATTTTTGTGTCTTATAAAAATTAATAAGTTTTAAAATAAAATTCGGTTATTTTTAACTTGGGAACTATTTTATACTTTTCACTCGTATTTTGACTTTATATGGCGGTTGCCACAGAAGTATTTAAGAGTTTGAAATAACTCGTCGTCTTCTTGTATATCCCGTTTGGTTAAAAATATATTACTGCATACTTTTAAACACCTATTTTTATATTTAAATATTATTTTAAAAACCCAGCTATTTCTGTGGCACCCCTATATTATAAAATTAATTCCAATTATTACAAAAATCTCCTGGAATCTCTTGTTAATCATATAATAAATTTATAAATTCCAAAGCACTGCTGGTTTGCCCACAGGTGTATAAATAGACTGATATGTGAGCGCCGAGAACAACAGAAAGTGTTTTCGCAAAAAATGGAAATTGATACGGGAATATGGTTGGCAATGCCGATGGTGATGGTGCTGCCATTGGAACGTGAGGGGGCGTGGGTCAATCAGCAGGAACCACAGCAACAATAATGACACCAAATCCCAGTACAATGGGTCTGCAAGCGACTTTAGGCAATCACGAGGCCCTGAAAAACAAGCGGGGCTTTTACAAAAAAAAATCCTAGGTACCTACATATATTGAATGCGAGCAAAAATAGCCACAAAAGCTGTCGAGAGGGCAAGTCTGCAGCGGACATAACGAACAATTGCAAATTTCGTTTCATATTGTTTATTAATTGATTTTGTATGTTCCAGTCGGTAGTCGGTGGGTAGTGGGTACTTGGAAGCAGAACCGCCGTCTGAGCCTTTGGGTTTAATGTCTATATCTTTTGTATGTCCTGCGGTTGTCACGTCAGCCTGGGGATGTGCTACAAATTTTTGTTTTCGTCCTTTAAGGATCCGAATGTGGGTGGTGGCACAGATAAAAGACTTCTACTTGTGTATATACATAGAAAATAAATTCGATATGAAATAATGTCAATTCTACGTTATTTCATATCAATAAAAAGCCGATCTGATTTATGTCAAATTTATGATTGAAACATATCAACATGATATTTTATCATATCATATAAAACAGCAAATTCAGTATTTTTTTAACAAATAATGTAAAATAATATAAACATATTAATTATTCATCTCAAAATGATATGAACCAACCAGCACATATCAATCTGATATTATCTGAATTTTTTCTTCTGTGTATATGTGTATGTAGCCTCCTCGGGAGATTCTTTCTTTTATTCCTTCTTTATTTTTTGTTTGCATAAATCAATTTATCAATTATCAATTGCTGGCGTTGTCGCGCTGGCGAGTTTGTAAACGCTTGTCAGAGTGTTTTGCTTTTTGCCACGCTCGGAGAAATGCAAATGCAGATTCAAGTGCAGTTTGCCGCGAAACGCATAAAATACGATTCGAGCAACCGGAAGGAAGGCGAACAGGCAGGCGGAGGAAATGAAACGAGACAGACAGCTTTCGACTGGCAATGCCATCTCGAGCGACTGCGAAACCAACTTCATTTGTCATTTTGTCACATTAACGCAATGGAAATGCAATATGCTAATGTCAAATTTTATGAATGAGCATGAAAATATTTGCCATAGCTGCCTGACTTGATATTATAGTATTTACTAAGTGAGTCATTATTTTTGTATTTTTAAGCTTTCACTCAGTTTTATTTCAGGGCTTAAAAATACTTTTAAAGTGAATAAGGTTGAAGTGAAATGAAAATTACTGGGTCATTATTTAAATCAAAATAACTTTAGCAACCTGAATTTATGATTTCTAATTTAAGAACATTTTCTAAGTGCCAAAAATGTCAAAAATAAATTGAATTAAAAATGCAAGAGAATATCTTCCATTTATGAAACTTGAAGTAAGCTTTCCAATAATTTCCCATATTCATATTCCTCAATTTTCTACCAAGTTCGTTTATTATTCACCCTTTTCCTCGATTTTCTATGCGGCTCCTTGCCGCTTCTCTTCCTCTTCCAGCCCGCATCCGTTTCCGCCCCGCTGCCACGCCCACACAATTAACGATTCATATGGCACGCATTTAAGTTTTGCATTCCAAGTGAGCCGCAAATCTTCTGCCACGCTTCCTTGAGCCCTCAAAAAGCCAAAAACTCAAAGTCAACTTGAAAGTATAAGATGTGTGTGTGTGTGGGATACGGAACAAAAATCAGATTTTCATTAACCCACACAAATAGAGCGAGAGGGAAGATGGAGGATTTTCCTTGGCCTGGCAACCGAAAAGTTTTTGAAGGACGACATTTCTATTCATTAGTCGCATCTATAATCACACACACACTTTGGAGCATTGATTTGGTGTCGTTGTCTCTCCATTGCCGCCATTTTGTTGCCAAAAAGACGCACGCTTTATTAGCCTGATGAAAAGTTAACTAAACTTTGGTTTTTCTGGGCCACATTTGCCAGAGCCCCCTTACATTCCAATTCCCAGATCACAGAACTGAGAACCGAGAGCCCAGAGCTTCGGTTCCCAGTTCATTTTGTTTAGGTTGG